AATATGAAACAAAGAAATAGAGAAAAAAAGACTGTATCCGCGTGATGAGAGTTGAAAGAATTGTTGTTTTTTTTTTTTTGAAAAGAAAAAAGTTAAAACAAAACATTTGGAAAATCAACGAAAAAAGACTTTACATGAATTTAATATGCATTTTAAGCTTCGCTGGCGTTACACCACGTCAAACTCATTGTCTGAATAGTTTTTTTCATCCGCTACTGTCGATTGCGAATAAAAATTGAGTCACTTCTTTCTGCTATGATTGACTTAAACATGTACGCGCCACAAACAATCAAAGCGTATTACCAACACGAACGTACCTGCGCTCTTCTCTCGTTTGATGATAATTTCAAATTTTGCGAGTGACTCATGGTCAAAATATTCGGCGTGTGTATGATTCATCGCGTTTTTAAACGAATCGATAAAATGGATCGTAAAGACCTTGATACTCATAAAAAATGAATTTGATTCTATTCCATTGCGAAGTTTAGCATGCATTTAAATGAGGACAGAATTTTGAATGATTGTTATGTTTTTTGGACGTTGTTTGCTCTTTATTCAAGTGAAATTTCTGTGTGAATTCAGCGAGAGAAACATATCTTGGCCTGGTTGATTCATTACATCTTTGCTTTCCATATCATCTCATTTAAAGCTCGATTTATTTTGGAATTGTGATTTGTAGGCCGTTTGCTCAGCTGTTCCAAACATTCATTATCAAGTACATGTAATGTAAGAGAAAGCAACAACAACAGAAGAAACATCAAAATTCATCAACAATCAGCCACAAATAGAAACCACGCATTCACTTGTTCACTCATGGCAGCTAGATATAGGATTGCACAGTGATTTAACAAGCTCAATTTTAAATTGAAAAACAAAGTGGCGTACACATAGATAAAGAGCGTCTGGAATGAAATTAGGAGTAAAGACAGTGAAGTGCGAAATGAAGTCAAGTGTTTCCCTTTTCAAAATCAAAACTATAATTTTCTGATCATTAAACCATTCGATGTGTAATTTTTAGCCATGTTGCACACATAATTATGTTTTATATTTTATTTTATTTTCGTTCATTGTTATTATTTGTTCATCTCTCTTTGCGTTCGTCGATTATTATTGTGAATTGACAACCACGACCTGGCCAGACGGTGAGTCTCTATTTTCAAAAACAAAAACCTTAAATTCATACTCATTGAATGAATTTCAATTTTAATGTCATTTGATTCTTTTGTCATTTGATCTTTTCGAATAAAAACCGAATCAATGTAATTTTACGAGTTTTATTTTGTGTAAAAAGGCAAACGATTATTGACATAGTTCACGATGAATGCGCGATTCGAAATTTGAAGAGAAATATAAAAGAAAACATTCAAATCGTAATTGAAGGGAATATACTCAATCCAATTAGCTAACAATGTTTTGTATGTGTGTGTGTGTGTTTGAGCAGTGCGAATGAAATGCAGCTAATTATAGCTGTTGCCTCGTGCGACCAAGCGGGCGGACGGGCAAATATGAGAGGGAGAGAGAACGCGCACGCCCATTATAAATAAATATTTATGGAATGGAAAATGATTTTTGGATCTTTCTTGACTTGGCAGCCGCTTGGAATAACAATAAGAAAATGCAAAGATGGACTGACTTCTATTCAACATCAGTTGAATACAGCGTCGAACCGCAACAAGCTATCACGAATTCAATGAATGAAATGTGAGAGAGGCGGTGAGAGATGGAAGAAAATCGCTTAACATTTTCCTTTGTGTGCGTTACTCAGTTTTCTGTCGGTAATATATGAAGTATAGACATAGTGAGAAGACGAGCTGCATTTCATTTCTCCTTGAATTTTGATTCGTGTGTGCTCGCGCGATCAACAACAAAAACAAACTGATTGGCATTTCACACAGTGAATTGTGTGAATAGAGCAAAAGCAAACATCACTGGCTCATTGTGTAACGTGCAATATCATCACCATCGAGCGCACTTCACACGGCAACATCGATGGTCTCAAATAGATGGACATAGCCGATCGTGAATTTGCAATGCAACCGAGTGTTGAGCAGAAATAGAAATTAATTAATTTCCGTACAATTATCATTATCATTATCATGAACATGTGTATCCACTGACGGTATGGTAAAGAAAAAAAAAATGGTGGAAAAATCAAAATGTGCGCCCAAGTGCTCGCGTAACCGCAGTATCGGTAGTACCGTTTCATTGAGTTGTGCGTGTTGAATGCAAAAAAGCAAAAACGAAAAAAACGCTGTGCTGCGGTCAATTTTAAGTGGCAATGAAATCAAAGAATCAGTTACCTGACACTTCATTCACTTTATGCGATCTGTGATTTAAATCAGTTATCAATTTTGATGGTAAAATCATGAAAAGCTGTCAAAAATTCTGTCTATTTAACGATATGCATACAAGCACTATCGGCACGGCATTAAATGTAAACATACATACATTATTAGGCAATGCATTATGCAGTTTGGATTTGAGCGAAATTTTTATTTCTTCATCGTTTTGCCACGATTTGTAGCTTTGCCGTTTCTTTTTCACCCACTGGATTTGACGAGCACTTCTCTTCTTTTTTTTTCAAAATGTTTCAATTCTTCGTTTACTATAAATATTAAGAGCTCATTTTATTGTCATGATCGTATTGGTTTCATTTTGGCCATTTATTATATTGTTCGGAATTTTGTTTTTTTTTTTCGGACGGTCTATGGTTTTATATCGTTGTTTGCGTTCTTCATTTCATTCGTCTTCATCATCATTGATCGTAGTGTATTCTTTTTGTTATGTTGATATTGTATTCACTGTATTTTTTGTTTCTTTCTTTTATAATCGCTCGTATGTATTTTATATATATTCTTTAATTCGTTTCCATTTCGTTATGTATGAGTGAGTTACCAGAATTTACGTTCCAATTATCGTCCGTTCACTCGAAGTACAGTCAATTCTTGTAAGTGCGGTGGCCAATTGTGATTGTGAGAGGGGCACGGAGAGAAGAGGAGCGAACGAATCAGCCTGAAGTCAGAAGCTATTTCTGTTCCTCTTATTTCGATTAATCGCTTTGAAGAACACTTTTTTTTCTTCTCAATTTTTCTACGTATTGTTATTGCTGTTACTATTTGGCGTTTAATTGAAGTACATGTGTATATTCCGATGCTAGGGGGTAGACACATGGAATATTACTTGAGATATTCACCGAAATTGAAGGTACTCTTGGTATTCTTGGTATTCTTGGTATTCTCAGTTTTAGACGAAATGTCAATGCATTCAGCAACGTCTCACAATGTGCATATATGAATATTATCTTCCAAATATTAAAAAAACTTTTTCAACGCTATTAAGTGTAGTATTTCAATTGGTTTAATAAATACAAAAACAATTTTGATAAAAATAGCAGAAAGAAAATGGAAAAAATTAAAATAAATTTCGAAATGGTGAATGTTAAAACGAAATGGAAGAAACTTGAAATCTTTATTACCGATATCAATTTGACATTTGGTAATCACGGTATTCACATTTTTAGTACAAGTAATCTTTAAATAAGTAAGTAATTGTCATATTTGAAAATAGATAGGTATTATGACAATTCATTGGTATTCATTCATTCTCTATTGTGTCTACCCCCTAGTTCCGATGTGAACAATTTTAAGCATACACTCGACATATATGCAAAATGAAAGAAAAACAGAGAAAACACCGGCCACTTTTTTCATCTCTATCTCTTTTTGCCGTCAACTTCTTTCAAATTCCATTTTCTATTTTGCCAAAAACTTAAAATTCAACGAGATCATCTCGTTTGATGAGTTGCTGACTATATTTTGAGTTTGATTTTCTTGGAACTAGTGTCGATCGACTCGAGTAAGCTTTCACATCAATCAGTTTTTTTTTCCTCTCTCTTTTTCTTCGTCTTATTCTTTGTTTGGATATATCTCATCATCATCATAAACATCATAAATTGAGAGAGATGTTATGAATACGATAGATTTTAGTTTTGATGTCAAGTATTCGCTTGGATCTAATTGTGACCAAAGTCAAAATACGCTAATTATAAGACCGCACCGAATGACTCATAAATATGTATTGAAACGAAACAACATCACACACACAAAAAAAAGCACAACGTCGTCTACAGTTTGACGCTTATTACGGGTCACAAATCACCATGTCTTTCTCTTTTTCATGACCTTTACTTTTGACCTATGATGTAATTTGAACATGTGATCACATAGTACGCATGCAAAATACAACAACACCACATCGTAAAACAACTAACAGAAAAAATCGTTTTTTTTTTCTAAAGAAATTCAAAAGAGATTTTTTTACTGCAAAAAAACTGTACAGAAGTGACAGAGTGAGGACAAGAACATTGCGGCAAGAGAGAAAAAGAAAACAACAGTGGCTGCATTTTAAAATGTAATCAACCTGACCGACAGTCTAAGTTTATTTAAAATTACATATTATAAAAAAAAATACGCAAACAACAATTTGTTGCCTTTTTTTGTGTCCGGCGTGGTTAATTGTTTTGCGATGCTAAAGCTACTGTTTTGTATTTCATCGCGTACAACGGATTCTCTCATTGGGGCTGCATTCGTACATTTTACATGACTTGTTAATTCTTATTCTATTTCATTTATGACGAGTTTTGGACTTTAATCGGGCCAAAATTCACACATACACATGTAGATATGCGGTTATGCACAGGCACACGTTCCCTTGAACATTAAAACACATCAATCATCATTATGCCAAGGGAATTGGTGTGATTTGTCTGTGTGTGATTCACATTCTTGAAAATCGTGTGCAGATTTCGACTGATTTCGTTAATGTATTGCACAACATTCGAAAACAATATGTTTTAAGACGATTTAATTAATCTTTCTCTTATATTTCATTTTTCAAAGTCATTTCGATTAGATTTGTTCACTTTGATTTAACTGAATTGTATAAGTTTGTTTTTACTTATCGTGATTGTGAAAGAAATGAAATCCGTCAAATAAACTTACCGTCATTTTTCTCGAGTGAATTATACACTTTGGTGGCGACCTCGTCCTCTTCAGCATAATCCCAAAGACCGTCACAGGCTAAGATCAAAAAATCTTCTTTGCCATTCAGTGGGATGGCTGCAATGTCTGGCTCACCGATAACCACATCTTTTAAACCATAATCGCCAATCGCACGCGAAACAGCCAAACGACCATTCACACGATAACAACCGGGTGGAAATTCAAGTACACAACCGCCACTTTTTTCGATACGAATTCGTTCCGACTGTAAATTAAAAAAAAAAAATGTTTCATCGAAAAGTTATGTTCAATTCATTCAATGTTCACGAGATGGCGCACTTAAATGTAGCAAATGCATCAACCGTTTGAGTTTTGGTTTGACGATCGCTTGTCTTACCTCTGTGTCTGGCTTATGTGGATTTACTATTTGCAATACACGATTTTGTGAGACTAACAAAGCTTTTGAATCACCGACCCATCCAACAACCAATTGCCGTTCGGTCGGACGATAGAGAGCACATAAAGCTGTTGTACCTGACATCAATTTCTATGTTATGGAAGATACATCAACATGCAATGTTTAAGTTTCGTTTGAAAGTTTTCACATTTGAAATGAATGTGCGTGTTGAACTTACTTGTTTTTTGGACTTTTCAATGAATTTTTCGTCTGTGTTAAGAAAAGCTTCACGAAGAGCTTCATGAGGTTTACTCGGATAAAATTTACTGGCAACTATTTCACAATGCAAATGTGATACACTGTATGCAGCTGCATCTGTACCACCATGCCCATCAAATATCGCATAGTAGCTAGTCGTATCGGAGTCCTATCGAAGAAGAAAAAATCCATTTGAATTCGATTTGTAAAATAATGCAAAAAAAAATATGAAAGAAGAGATTGTAGTTACCTTGATGCCAAATACTTGATTAAAATCATCGATAATGATGTGCCGATCTTCCATGTGTCGTCTTGTATTTTTAATTCCTTTCGCCGAATACAATGCAGGCCGTTTGACTGGCGGTGACGGTATCAATTTATCCAATTGCAAATTATCCAAAAGGCTTTGGCATACATCGTTTATTTTCGATATGGACAATTGCATTAGTTTTAACGTTTGATATTCTGTGAATGATAAAAATTGGTTAACGTCGTTTTTTTCATCTTCGTTAGTTTTTGTTTCGTTCAAATCATTTTTGACGATGACAAATGTCATGTGCGATGGTCGAAGAGAGGGAAAAGAAGAATACGAATCGGTTTGTGTAGATGATTGATACATTCCATTTGACGATCAATTTACACTTAATGAGATTCAATAACTTTGAGCCGCATGGATTTGAATTGTGTGTAACAAGAGAGCACGGACCACAAATGGAACAAGGAACATTTGAAAGTATAATATGGGTGTGAATGAATACAAAATACTAACGACACTTGAAAACTCATTCCGAAATTGGACCACACCACATCTTATGTGCAGATTTGTGTTGAATAATGCAGACATTAGGTTTGAGCTATGGATATAGCGGCTGCTATTTCATAGCTGCTATTCATAGGCGCTATTTATCTCGTTTTAATGCATTTATGCGTATTGTGCGTTATTTTCTACATCTCTCTCGTACTCACATTCAAATGTACAAAAGAATAGTAGGCTATGATATTCCTACTCGGTGTTACACACAGCACACGAATTAAATAGCGCCTATGAATAGCACCATATTAAAATACTAACAACAATTGACACTATTTGAAGCCACATTTTGTCTTGTCACAGTTACATTTTGATTTATCGGTTTGCTACATTTTTTTTTTGCTTCTCTCCCTCTCTCTTCTCTCGGTCGTTTTAATGCAAAATTTCCATTGTGTTAAGCAAACGTCATATGATTTGTCGAATGGAAAAAAGCAAAATTGGCTTTTGTTTGAAATAAGAAGCGATGCATATCAAGATACAAAAAATATATATAGAATTTTTCAGCAATAAATCATCGTAATTTCGGTGGTAATAACCGTTTCATTTCCATTTTTGACGAGAAATAACGCAATGACTGCATTAAAAGAGAGTTGCCGGCGTGTCGTAAAATCATTATTATTATGATTTCACATATAACTATGTAAAGTTTTATCAGAAATGAAATCAAAGCGCCAAAAAATGCACATTCAACCGACGGTACATCTAGGTGAATTTCCATTGTTCGAACCATATTTCTGCTCGGCACTTCTTTGTTTTTTTTTTTTCGTAATTTTGGCGAATGAGAGAGGGAGTGAATGAGTGAATTTACTTAGTTAAATCTCCAGTTAGTCTGCAGAAAATAAGAAAATGAAATATGAAATATTGTGCAGCGAACGAAGGAAAGAAAATTTTGTGTTCGAAATAAGCGTCAATGCGTACGGTCAATGTACGATGATTTGTATATTGCTGAACACACAAACCGTTTATTATTATTATTTTATTTTGCTCTTTTCATATTGCTGTGTATGCTTAGTTTCATTTTATTTTTTATTTTTATTTTTTTGCACTTAATGTTTCATTTCTTTGCTATGCTTTCTTTCTCTATCTCTCGCTCGTTCATTTTGTTCATTCATCAGCCCATACAATGTTGTTGGTGTGGCGTACAGTAGTTCTGTGTGCATTATAAATTTTAATTCTAAAATAATTAAAATAAAAACAAAGTCATAAGTAGAGAAGGCATTCAGCGAAGTGCCCGAATGAATAGTGGTGGCGGCGGCGGCGACGATAATATGGAATATGTTAATGTGTTTCGATCGCGCGCATTTATACGTATAAGTAATAAGGTGTTTGGGTCGAGTTTACTGTATGTTCTTGGCTTTGAGTGTGCTCAGAAAATATTGAGTTGAATGAGTGAAGAGAACATCAACGACAGAGTGCAACTAAAATTGATTCGTTTTATCTTTTCGGTGTACATGTACATTGTATATGATGAAGCTACATATACGGACACAATTTATAGTTTTGCTACTGTCTAGCGCACTTGACCAGCAGAACAAAAGTGAATTGCAACTTTGTATATATGTATACATATGCATCATAATTCATAATAGATTTCATTCATTCACTACTCCGCATCAATTTCGAGAAGATTTATTCTTCGGTCTACACTTCTTCTGCTTTTAGTTTGTTCTGGCATTGATTGTGCTGATGTTTTTTTTTTCTTTCTTGCAATTCGCTTTTTTCAAGCCATATATTCCATTTCGATGACTCTATTCAAGACTCTTTCCGTTCCAATGCACCCGATCGCTCACACTCTCTATTTTATGGGGCTTAACATATTCAAAATTGGATTTCCTCGTGTCTTTTTGTTACAATGAGCTTAACTTTTGTGTTTACCATGCACAAATCGTTTCATTCAAACAATAGGAAAATGACTAAAGTGCGGGGATTTTTTTCCTCAATTCTACTTACCATTTGTATTGGCCAGATAACCATATTGCTCAGGTGATTTACGTAATGTTTGATGTGTTTGATCCAATGCCAATTTTATGATTGGCGCAACCAATGTTTGTGGACATTTTCTGAAAAGACACAAAATTAATCGAAATTAGTTTATTATACAGAGATAATGCTACTCCATGCATTCTATTTTTAGTCTTATTGCATGTTATGGAATCGATTTCAGTTACGTTTATATCATTTTTTTTATACAAAAATTACCAAATAATTATCTATTTATATCAAAAAAATGTCGATATTTTTCGATATAACTGTCTTGGAACGTTGCCATCACAAATAAAATGATAGAATTTATTTAAAAGAAGAAAAAAATTCTGACCTTTCAAAAAAAAAACTAATCGAGAATTGAATTTGATATTTGCATCGCATATACAACATTTAACAATATCAAATATTTACAAAGTAATTCGTGATACACATCTGTCCTCTTTTATGCTAAAAAGAGAGAAAGAGAGATCGAATGCGATTCTCTCTCTTTCGAATAAAAAAAGAATCACGTTATAGTTGATTGGAATATCGGAGGGTATTGTACTTTGCGATGAGGTTGGTTTAAATGAAAATGTTGCCATCTTTTCTGAGAGTGAAAATAGATGTAAATTTCGTGTTACAAGCGAAAAAAACTCACACAAACAGAGTCGAGCGTGCATAACGAAGTGGATAGTAAAATGAATGGGCTTAGTGAGTGGTCAAAATACACACACACATACGCAAAAAAAAAGAATGCACACTCGACTCGATGGATGAAATATAGAAAGCTAACTCGATCCATGCATGACAACGGAGCACTGCAGCAGCAGCAACAGCAACGGAGAACATGAAAAGTAATACGGAACAAAAATACGACAATGGCGACAGCAGGACACACATGATAATTACTGAAATAAGGTAAGTGTGAGGTAAGCACTCTTCATTTATGGCTATGCGAAAAATACCTCGACATGAAATAATGAGAGAGCCGAACATCTCAAATCAAGTAGTAATTAAAAAAGAGAAGCCAAACAAAAAAGCAAATGGCCATGCGAACAAAGCAAGCAGCTGGCTATCTATCATGCATATTGGTATGCAATGTATAGATAAACTAAAGCCGAAATTGATTGAGACGACATTTCACATGGACAATTGAAAATTGTCGAAATTTCTCTGGCTTTTGGCAAACTAAAAATTGATCGGAAATGAATAGAAACAAAAACATTATTCTCGAATAAGAACAATGGCCACGCTTGACCACATCGATTTCAATGAGAATTTATGCATGTGTGTGAGTGAGCTTCTTTTGTTGTGGCAAAGTGTCCATTTGCAGGTTTTTTTTACGATTCCGTCAGTCTGTCTGTCTGTCGTTCCATCTCTCATATGTAATGTACATTTGTAACACAAACAGTGGAGAAAGAAACAAAGCGAGAATTTAAAGCGCAAAGCTTTTTAATTAATATTCATTTATGTATGAATAGATTAAACAGTTAGTTGCTGCTGTTATTGTTCTTTTATCTATTTATAATTTAAGTTGAAGATTTTATTCATCAATTGCGTATATACATTGGACGATTTGTTAATTATTGCAAGCGATAAAAGAAGAAACAAAAATTATGAAATGATTTCAAGCATGCATGGGGGCTTTCTATTCTGCTGTTGCTGTTGCAGCACATACATTTTCCATTCTTAGATTTGACTTAAGAAGTAAAATTACCATAAGTGGCAAGTACATCATTTGATGCGATAATCAAGCTTTGCACAGAAGTCGTTTTATATGAAACAAAAATACAGAAGAAGAAAAATGGATGCTGTTGCACTTGAAGAGATGCGAGCTTGTGAAAGAAGCCAATCTCAAATGCCGCTAAGAAGTAATAGTCTTGGGCGAAATTGATAAGCATTTTATCAAAAATATGCGCACAACATTTAAATGTTTTCTCTCTGTGTGTCTGTTTCTCGATCTCCATCCGGATGCACACGAGATGAACATATTCAGAATTGGTTGTCATGTACATGCAATATGATGGTTGCTGAACTCATATTTACAAAATGCTATCTAAATTAAGTGACAATCAAACCCACACAAACACAAACACACACATATGCTCACCATAGATGAGATCTCTTCAGTTGCTATTGTTCATTTATGCATATTTGATTCGGTAAATCGAATGAAATTGCTAATTGTACATCGTACTCATGCAGACAAAATGCAAAAACATGAAACTCTCGAAATCGATATATTCGGATAAAAGTCGAATCGGTTGATTTGTGTATGTTGCATATACACAAATATCCTCGAAATACATGTATCGAAACATAAAATAAATAAACACATTTTTTTTTTGCCCGAACACTCTTTCGGTTCGTCTTTATCATTTCGTTTCTCTACATTTTTTGATATGGTCGTATGTGTTTGCCGAGATTCGGATATAACAATATGCTATTAATCACATTTCCAGACCATGCCACACGAACGAAATGGTTTATGTTAACTGCGCGACGCTCGCGCGTGTGTGCATAATACTTGTCACATTCACAAATGAGAAAGAAAGAGACACAGAGCGAAAAACTATACAGAAACATTCTGAACAATTGCATTCAAAAGAGCATCTCGTGTGTATAATTTCTCTCTGCGTGGGCATGTTATAAATAATGTTGTTATGGGTGCGGACCACGAAAATTGTTTCATTTGTACACATTTACTAACTCTTTGTACTATCTCTCTTTGAAAGTGTGTGTGTCTGTGTTTTTTAATTGGCGTTGTTGTTTTGAATCTCATTCATTGCGGATACATGCACTGAGACTATTGCATATAATATTGCATTGTTTCGGCATCTTTTACCAAAATCCTTCATTTTGAAAGCATACAACTCTCATTTGTGTGGACTCAACGGCAATTGCTCGTATTTATATTGCGTTTGATACATTGAACATCTTTCAACCAGTACCGTAAAATTGGTATGGTGTTTTTTTTTTTTTGAAATTCATTGCATGCCCATGAGAATTGAAAATTCCAAAAGACAAGAGTGAAAACAAGATATTGTTGGATCGTAATGATATTTGATGGTGGTTTTAATTTAATTATATCTTATGCCATTGGATTGTTTTCTGATTATTATTTGCAATCGAGAATCAGATAGACTTTCGAGTTTGTGTGAGTTGAAAATATGGTAATCGATGTGATATTTGAGAGCATCCATCTGTAGCATTGAATCTCACAATAAATACATAAGTCTATTTATACAGTGATACAAAAGTATGCGGTGGTTTTATATTTGTTTCTAAAATGTTTCTAATTTTCAAATAATAATTCCATCAAAGCGATTGTTTTAAGTCCCTGCATTAGAAATCCAAATTCAATTGCCATGATATTTAATGAGCGAACTATTTTCAGCAGCACACTGAAACAAAAGTTTTTGGAAACATCCCATTTTTGGGTTGAACAGCAGACAAATGAGAAACTAGACACTAAAATATCCGCTCTGGTCAAGTTCAATTGAATTCTGTGTTCCTCTCTTTTTATTTGCCTCATTTTTTTTACTCTGGCACAAAAATTGCACTTGAGCTCACCATGACTGTTGATTTCAATGACGAAACTTTTCCTGATTTTGTTTTCCAGCAAAAAAAGTTTCTCCGAGAAAACTATAATTTGACTAACTTTGGTTGAAAATCAAAACCAATTTCCAACTTTTTTGTAAATTTGTAAATTTTTTTCGATCGGATTTTTTTGTTTGTGTGTACAATTGTGCATGGTTGAGTATTCGTCATAACCGCAAAATTGTTTGAGTTTGTGCATAGAAATTGTGGATAGAAAAACCAAAGCAAGCACACAAATCCAGTCGACAGAATTTCTCCTTGGCCTTTATTTGGTTGGAATGTAGTGGCTTGTTCTCGTTTGCCCTCTCCATCTTTCTCTTATGCTCCATAAGTAATGATAATGACATTGTAAATGTTGGATTAGAATTTTTAATTAAAGCTTTTACGGTGTCACACCTCGCTCTCTCGCAAACTGATTGCGTTCATGACACACATGGCACACAAATTCGTTATTGTGTCATAAATATTCTCCCATATCACGTCATACACACACACACCACACATATTTTGTTATTTTGTTTACATGTAAAAAGCCCACATTTTCGCGTTCGACCCATATATTTCGTTCAGCAATTTATTATATACACATATGTATATGTAATATGCCGGAATAAAAAAAAAATGTTCACGCGAGTTGCAGATGCTGCATTTCTCTGTCTTTTTCTTTTCTCGCCATCTCCTAAGTGGGGTGCACACATGCAGCAATGATGTTATATAATTCGTAAACGTGCAAATGATATATTCTGAAATGCAATTTAATAGCCATATTTATGGTACTTATCTTTCTTTTGCACAACGAAAAGAACGAACACAAAAAAAATCACGTACACCGAACCACTTCACCGTCAGAAGAAGAGAGGCACAATGTTAATTGCAGATGAAAAAAAATCAAACTTTTTGCATGCTAAATAATTCAATGAAGTGGTAAATGAGCGCATCGCAATTGTATTTCCTAATGAATTTAAAGCAGTACTCATTTTTCATGTTGCCTTCCTCCCTTAATTTCCGGACGAAATGAAAGACAGATAGCATATTTCGTTTACGTTCACATTGAAACGATGGAAAAATAATGAGAGAAGGAAAGAAACCCGGAAGAAAAATTAAAACTGAGAAAAAAAATGAAATATTTCATTTACGATACAATTCATACCGAATAGGCACACGCAATTGAAGGGTATTGACTTGATATCGATTTAATAATTAAAAGATAAAATTTGTTGATTTTTCAATCGAATTTTTTTTCGTTTTGTTTTGTTTGGTTATTGGGCATTTTTCAACAATTTTTCCATGTTTTTTTTTTTCATGAACAATTGGACAAATGTATACAGAGAGAATGCCGAATCGATTGAAATTTGAGTTAAAATGACGTATGGTTACGGGTACATGACTTTCGGTGGATAATAAATGAAGAAGACGACAAAAGAACGAGTAAAAATTAAAAGGCGTTGCATGTCAATACAATGCATTTTGAAAATAATAATAAAGCCGTCGTCGTCATTGTCGCCATCGTTGCTGTCATGGTAATTTTGACTATACTACACGCACATGTTTTTACAAATTCCACTGTATACTCATTCATTTTCATCGTTCAAGACCAGATCATATTCATTTTCTCATAGCCAGCGTTAATATAATATAGTATGTTTGTACGCGTTGTTTACATGTCGAATGATATAGAGATAAACATAAACCGCCCGAAAAAAAAACGCTAGCAAAATGATAAAACCAAAACAGTTTTCGTTGTTCCCCTTTTGGTCTGTTGATATAGTAGACGATTCAATTCAAGAGTCGGATGCAATTTGCCGACGAATCGTAATATATGAAGAAGAATAAACTACCACCACCATCATTTACAATCATTTTCATTTACTACAAGACAGTGAAAATAGAGAAAAACAACAAATCGACGCATTTTTACGATCGGCATCAATGACTTCGCCCTCTGCTAAATTGAATACGATTTATGTGAGTGTGTGAAACACACAGTGTAACGCAATGGCAATTCATAAACATAATATGACTTCTGAAAATGAGTATCGTCAAAACGATGCATAGATGCGTTACGGTCTAGAATGTAAATAAATAAATTATTTTTATCGTTACATATGCGATCTATCCGCTAGGCGAGTGCACTCTCATACTCACAGAGATTCGGTCATTCAAACGAAAATGCTCGCACACTAGGAGACACAGAGATATGCGTAGAGATTGCGTGTCAATCGAATTAAAACTAAAAATACAGACGAACGCACAATTTTGTATTACACATACTGTGCAGCTCTTGAATTCTAATGCCAATGTTTTTCGAATGTTTCGCCGTTTGACAAGAGCATTAGATTTTGTCGTGTTGACAAAATCTATTCCAAATTGAAAGGATGTTTAACTCAATAACTCAATGCAGGGCATATTGATTTTATTGTGATTTTTTCTTTCTTTCTCTTTCTCCGGGAGCGGGAGAGAGAGCGAGTGTTGTTTCTGTTAATGAGCAAACATGCTGAGACCACGATTTACCACATGAATATGATTAGATTTTTCCGTCTATTGGCAAGAACGAAAATGAAACTTGAAATTGACACCCTCTCCGACGTATATTGTCGTATTAGTGTTAAGTGTTTGATTATATAATGATCTCATGTCTACTCATGTAATATATAAATATGAACAACTTACTTATCGCCCAAATATTGAATCATCCAGTCGATAACAGCTCCGGATATTTCATTTTCTTCGAGTGTATAATTTGGCACGCGTACCGGCAATTGATCCGTTGGATCAACATTTTCCGCAAAATATTCCAAAAATGAGCGATAAATTTCAAAATTTTCCGTTTGTGTATCGGTGCAAACGATATTGCGAGCAAAATCCGTTTCACTGGTCGACGTTTCCATCGTTCTTAATTCGATTCTTTTTTTTCTCTCACTTTTTTATTGTAATTGCTCTGATCACGTTATGATTCACGTGGACAAATTCAAAATGGATTCGTTGTTGATATTATACACTGTTACTTTTATATTTGTCTATCTTTTGTTACTTTTTTTTCTTCTTCTTTCAATGTAGAATGGTCAAGGTGATGAAAATGCACGTCTTTTCGGAGTAAGTCAATTCCACTAAATGTATTAAACAAGTGGGTTCTTTTATTTAACGACCGATTACTATCCGAGCTTCCAATTGAATTCGATATTCGCCTTTCAACGCAGTTAGTTTTATTTAGATTCAGAGCACGAAAGAGAAAACACTGTGTTCAAAAATATTAGCACTGCAGAAAAAATTGTTTTGTTATTATTCATTTGAGTATTAGTCACTTGTTTCTTGATTTATAATCCGATTCAATTTGGAATTCAAACACTTTATTCTGCGCCTGCACACTTTTCACACGGCAAATAGATGATGATGTTTTTTTTTGTTAGTTTGGTTCGTATTTCATTCGTTGAAAATAATTGAACACATAAAATGAAACAGAATTGTCCCGTTGCAATAAAATTGTCACAATGGTTGATAAAACGATGTTAACCGAACTGAAATTATTTTTCTCAACTACAACAATAACAAAACGAGAATGCTCGTAAATAACGTGTCTTCGCTAGTGATTACTCATTTTCATGTCATTCAAATAAAAACGATCTGCAAAATATAAAATTGATGTGCAACGTTGTTAAATGTAGTATAGTATACAGTAGCGGCTAGAAGTTTAAGTACATTCATTGATTTTCGTATGAATTGAGAAGTTGTGTGCGTTGTTAAATCATATTTCAAGACATTTAAATTGGTTAATTTTTGGTAGGTAGTTGAACTTTAATTTATTTATAATTAAAGAGTCAAAAATACAGAGGAAATGCGCTTTGAAATGGCATGCCGTTGATGGTTATTCAGTTTCATATGCAACAAAATCATGTTGAATATATTATTAATAATAATTTGATTTGCATGCCATTACAAAGTCACTGAACATTTTCTTCATTCAATGTATGTGAAAATCGATGGTGTCAAACTTTTAGCCGGTACCGTCTCATTCAAAAAGTTCAAACGATGAACGTCAACAAAATTCTTCAAAAAATTTGTATTCGTTCTGTAGAAATGGCGGGGACATGATTTGTTAAGCGGAGCAAATGAGATGGACGGGATTTTGTACAGATCACGTTCGTGCAGTGAACATAAAATATAAAAGAATTGAAAATGTTCCCGATATTTTGGAAGTGAAATGGTCAATAAAGGGAATTGTTTTGTTCGTACTTTGCAAACAGTCAAACCGACCAAACGACGTAAACATTTTCTTTTTCTCTCTGCGGAATTTTTTTCATACGAATCGAATAAACGTGCATAAAATGATTGTTGCTACAATTTTCTCTCTCTCCTTCACTTTTCCTTCATCTTTTGACGGTGTTAGGTTGATGGTATCTTGTTATTTTGCTGTTGGTGATGTTGATGGTGGTGCTACATTTCATATGTGTATGTATGGTGTTTGCCGGTTATGCGGATGGCATATCTAAACCCGACTACCGTTCTTCTTACAATCATCGTCACTAAGAAGAAGCACTTTATCGTTTTTAACCTTTCGACGCTTCTCCGAATCTATATGCCATAAACAGAACACAACCGAATGAAGAAGGAAAAAAAACGATATGTGTATAATACACACATCGCACTGTACACCACTGTCGCGTACACCGTTCTTCATAAACTATCATTTTGTGTGCATGTGTATTTGAATGCTGGAAAACTCGCACCAGAATGAGAGAAAGAATATAATCAGCGAATAATAAAAATAATAATAATAAAAAAACAGAGACGACGAAGAATAATGTACACACACCATTGCCAACAAGTCGAGCAAAACATACAAGTGACAACAATGGCCCCAGCATGTACAATGGCGATTTACGGCATATAGCGAGAGAAATTGAGCACACAGGAACAATATAACTAACTGAAAACACACTGAACCAGCAAACCATAAAAAAAAGAGAAAGAGAGCGAGCGGAGAAAAGAAAGAAAATGTTTTTTAAAGTGAAAAACAACGTAAAACAGTATTGTTGATTTGACTTTTCTGTGTTATCCTCGTTAATTCGAGGTGATTCTTCTTCTTCTTTTTTTCGTTGTTGTCATCATCATCTTGTGTTGTTTGGTACGCATAAGAATTCCATTTGTATGCTAGCGGGCTTTTTTTTTGTTCTTGGCTCCATTTTTCTCTCTCATATGTGTAAATCACAAAATGACAAAACTATATAAATGTTATTTAGATGCGAACATGGTACATGTCTTCATCAATTGTCCGGGCGCGAGCCTGAATAAAGATTGTGCTAAGGATTTTTTTGTCTTCTGTTTCTCCGATTTTATTATTCAACGATGCTCCTGTTCATGTATACAAACTAACGAACTTTCTGTTTATTTTTCTATTAAAATCTTCATTTTTCTTTATTTTTCCTATTTTGATTTACTGATAGCAGTTGAGAGTCGGTTGTATACTATCATCAAAGAATCACGCACATAGAATGTTGGAATTTTATTAAAAACAACTAAAAGATAAAAAAAAAACAACTTTCATTCTCTTTCTTTTGCACGAATTGCATTTGAAAAACACTTGAAACTTATATTCACGTGATTTTCGACCCGTATTTGAGTCTTCGCCAATTTCTTGGAACAATTTGCAATTGGATTCCGCACACAAAACTACAGTAGCTCGAAATTCGAACGGATTTGAACAATAAATAGAAATATAAAAAAAACCAGTACGACAAACGAGAACGGCAACAAAAATGCAACTTAAGCGGTGTCATGTACTTAGGGGAACAAAATAACGCGTCAAAAAACGTGGTTTGAAGGTTGAATTGTTAGTATACATGTTATGGCAACTATTTGTTGCAAGTGTTGATTTGTAAAACGGTTTTTTTTATATATTCTCTCTCATCGTCTATCTATTTTGGCTAATTATCATGAGATTACATCAGCTGTCATATAGAATATGTGTAATAATCACTGATGACGCTAACCAGAGATAGCGACAGAGTGAGATAGGAAAACGGCATTAGACAATTTACGCGCAAAACACAAAATCGTGTTTGGTCTGGTTGTTTTCGGTACTGCACTTTCAGGCAAAAGAGTAAACAAATCATACATTGCTCTTTCTCTATATCTCCCTCGTTCTCGCTAACATTCATTCGCTCAATTTAATCCAATGAAATTATGTCACACATAATGCAAATTTAAAAGAAAAAAGTACCAACAACAAACGAAACACTGTTTTGCTCGTTTAAAGCCAATGCAAACACTTGTAATTTTGATACGTTGTTGATGTTATACGTTAATTAAAATGGCTCGTTGGTCATTTTGAAGAGCGAAAAAAACTGTTTAACACAAACACTGTTCACTCATATTCCTCATCACATCACAGAACGAATCAATGTTTCATTTTTCAATCAAACAATTCCAATAAATTGAATAGTCGAGGAATTTTCTGACACATTATTCTAAAAAAAAAAATAATCTAAACTGTGTAGTTTATATACAAATGCAGAGTGCGTCAACAAACTGACAAAACATAAATGTGTATGTGTGCGTATCGTTATTGTTTGCCGACTCAATTATGATTATTTTGCTCTGGATTAAATGATACGAAATGCGAAAAATATTTCACACTTAATCGGTGTTTTAAATTTATAATGAATTGTCGAAATGTGATAAAGTTAAGCGCACTCACATTGTGTTTTGTGTACACTCACCGCTGAAGTCAATCAAACAACTGAGAGCGAGAGAATAAGAATTTAGTGTGTGACACACAAACATATCGTACATATAGCATAGGCAACAATGCTGCCACCGTTGTTATTTCTTCTTCTTCTTTTTCCATCTTTTACTCGTGTATATTCTCGTGTATATAAGCCTCGTTGCGCACATACTATCTTCATCAGAAGCACGAGACACGCACACATACAATTCTTTGCCTATATATGCAGGCATATATATATACTATAATATAGTCATCTTTGTCTGTTGCGTTCAATATCAAATGCCGCCGCTGTGTTATGAACTGTTTTGCGCGTTTTTTGTTTTTATTGTTCTGAATGTTCTTTTTGATTCACACATACACACACACGGACGGACGGACGGACGCTCACACATTGTACGGAAAATCACCACAAAACAATGAATACGGCGGCAAACGGAACATCGACAACGAAACAAAACAACATAAATGACTCATACAGGTACATGTAATAACCAAAGACCGGATCGAACAAGCCGTGTAACATCAACAACAATGTTTCACATCTGAAATTAGTGCATATAAGTAATTCAATTTACCTTTTTTTTTAATAGTAAAAACCATAATTTCCGAGAATAAACTCCAAAGATGAGTGTTATGTGTTGGCGCATTCACACAAATATCCAAATTCAAATGGAGATGATCACTTGGTTTTTGCGAGAAAAAAAACACACATATACAACATAATGAACACAATTGTCATGGATGAAGTGATATTTTTATGATGGCTGATAAATTTATGTGTGAACACAAAACATACAAATGAGATTTTGCCTTTTCTTGTTGGCAATCAACCTTTTTATTCTCTCGTCTCGTTCTCTCTTTGTGCCTTTTCTTGCTGCTCGTGGTTTTCTTCGCCGACCGCAATCGCATACACAAGAGATTCTTTGAGATTTTTCGCGTAATCATCGATACACATGAAAATCATTCAATACGATTTAACGTTCAATGCCTTCTACAATGTATATACCATAAAAAACAACATTCTTCTGTAAACATTTGGACCCAATCAAATGAAATATCTTTATAACAAAATGTAGTTTATTCTTCATACATTTAAGGTAAATATTTACACACTACAATATCCATAATATATTTATTTATTTTTTTAAAAAAGGACATTTTAAATGATTCATATGATGATTTTAAGATGCATTCACCTCTTCTTTTTCATCGTCGCTGCTTTCGGACGATGTCGGAAAGAATTCATCACGGCTTTTATCTTTTTCGGCTTGAGCTTTTCGCAGATACTCATCTTGAGCCTCGAGAATCTCTTTGCTTGATGTGCACGACGAATACTTTTCCAATAATTCATCATTGAGCTCCAAAAATGAATGACCCCAAGAAAATTTACTCAAATACCACTTGGCCTCGCTTTTCAATCCTACGACATGACAAACAAAAAAAAAAATCACATTACAACCAAATTTGTTCGATTGAATTTCTGTAAAAAAATGCAACCATTTTGTAAAAAAAAAAACAGAAACATTCTCACCAATGATATAAAGAGCGGCCGCAATGGCCTCAACACAACTCAATTGACATGGTTTACCATAGTTTATTGGATTTGCAGCAACTAAAAATGGTAGCAATCGTGGATGTGGCGTTTTCATGCGATCAAATGGAGTCTCATCTAATTTAGCCCATGAACAATCGACCACAGCCAAACCGGACGCTTGGATAATTTCCTTATCGGCTGGACTTACACAATTCGTTCCGACTGGCGTCAGTACAAGTCCCGGAAATCGTTGACCCAATCGTAAATTATTGATCAAACCATGTCGTGCTAATTTTCGTCCCGAACATTTTTTCGGATCGCAATGGTTCTGACCGAAAAAAAAGAGAAGAAAGATACCAATTATTTTCAAACATATAACAAATATGATGTTTATGTTATAGAAATTGAATGCACTTACAAGATCCCACATGGCAACATTAAAAGTGGGCGCAGTACCTTGGTCGTCATCATCTGAGCTTGATTCGGAGCCCGACGAAGAAGACGACGATCCATTTTCGCTGGATGATGTATTTGATTGTAATTTTAAATCGGCCGCTCGTTCAGCCAATTTTCGATCAACATTTCGATGTGATTGTTTGGCATATTTTTTATTTCGACGATTATTTGCACCACTACCGCTTGAACCACGACCCGATTTTGCACGATTCATTTTCAATAACAATTCTATAAATGTAAACTCATTTGTTTTTCAACAACACATGTTCATGTGTGCACACGATGATTTGACAATAAATGTCAGAATAAAACTATGTATACGGCTGTCAAATTGGCGCTGCCGGTCTTCTGTCCATTTTAAATGTAGATAATATTCAATCGAAATGAAAAATTCCAATTTTTGTGCAAAGATTTTTTGAATTTTGAATGAATGTATGTGATTTTTTCGATTATTTTTCCTTTAAATTGACAGATACAATATTTTGAATGGAAATTTCAGCAATTTTCATTGAACAAATGATTTTTAATTGGTTGAAAATTTGACATTTACATCAATCCACTGATATGATAACAAATCAACCGTCAACAGAATATTTGTACAGTTTATCATCGGAAATTATCAGCGAAGAACGTTAATTGTGAGCGATTCTTGGAAAAATCAACGAAACAAATAATAAAGGCGAAACATTTCATAAAAATTAAAAAAAAAAGAAAATCAATCATTTAGTGAATCGTGCAATGTTTTATTATTATGACATTTCATAAATGCACACATTGATTTTATGTCTCGCACAACTACATGCGTAAATCAAGCCCAAACACATGTATCATCTTGTACTGCAAACATATAGCGACGCAGTGAATGCAACAACAATAATAATAATACATTGAACCAATGTCAATATTTTCTGTCGCACTAAGACGGGAGTTGAATCGAACACACACTCACACAGAGAGAAACAGACGAACGAAAAAGAAGAAGAAGAAAAAGAGAAGAAAAAAAAACAACAACTTACGAACGTGAATCAGTGGATTTGAAAGCACAGTGAGAGCTGTACACAAAAATCGCAAGCAGACTCACTCAGAGAATATATACACAATAACAACGGGGGGAGAGATAGATACAATATACACAAAATAAAATACATATATTATTCTGATTGGGTCTGTATGTTGCAACCAAAAAAGAAAAATATCAGCAAAAGAAAAAAATAATAAATCAAAATAATTTTTTTAAATTTTGCTTACTTTATCGAATTAGACAATGTGTGATTCGATTGAATATTTAAATTAGTGACATGAATACACGGTTTAAGTGAGTGTTTATTTATAATTTTCGATTTTATTTCAATTACGAAAAATAATATGTTTTAACTTATTCAATTGGAAAATGTGGGACAATTCATCAAAATTATAGACGCAATTTTGCTAAAATAAAGTGTGAAAAGGGCTAATCATTTATATAAATTTCATTCATTTAATGATTGTGCGACACATACGAAACAAAAACGATATGTATAAGCGTTATTTGACGCATATCGTCTGTGATGAGATTTTGATAGAGCAAAACATTTCATTGATCGAGTGTGCCTTTTGGACATATCCGTGAAATTGTTTGCTTAGTATCATTATTATCGTTGTTTTTGTTTAATTTTCGTCTTCCTTATTTGTCACACAAGTCGGATGCCTTTTTTTGGGGTGTTTGCAATTTAACAGATTGTTGCACAACAACAATTGCATTGGAGAAAACAGACAAATACAGTTAGAAAGAGCGAGCGAGAAAGAGAATGAAAAAAAGAAATCAATAATTTTCATTCACAATGCAATTCGAATTCGATTTCGTGATTTTGTTCCGTGTTTGGTTAGCCTGTTATTAGTGAAACAAACAAATGACGAATTGTTAAGTGAAAAAGAAATCAATCGACCAATTTCGGGTGTTTTCACTTTCATCACTGTTTCAATGCCTTTTCTTTATTTTATTTTTTTTTTTCCACAGAGAAAATGTACAGAAGCTGTTCGAGTATTGGTGTGAGATATCACCCACAGCGATCGGCGAAAAAGTATCTGGTGTCATTGTCGAAAGCTTCCCAGAACGTTTTAAAGATCCCGAAATCATAACGAAAATCCCAGAATTTGCCTATCCATGTCAGTTTTTAAAGTAAGTGCTATTTTTCATTTACGTTCACCGCAATAGTTACGAAAATGTGGAAAGTTCTTCAAACCGTTTTGCGATCGATCTGTATTTTTGCCTTTGGCGTGTGTTGTTTTGCTATTTCGTGTGTGCTCTCATTGAAATCTCGTTTTTTTTTTTTTGTGAATTTTTGCGCAAAAAAAAAACACGCCCGTGTGTGGTATAATGTGTTGGTACATGCAACGTAATAAATGACTATATGTAAGACAATACGCAAATTACAGTACTACTATTTGTTTTTGACTTGACGGCTCCTATGTGCTCGACACTTGGTGCGAATGGTTTTTCTGTAGCTCTCGTGTGTGTGTGTTTTTTTTTCTTCTCATTTGTGTAATAGTCTTCAACCTTTTTTTTCCTTCATTTAATGAGTTATACGAACGGATAGTGTTTTCGAATTATACAAAGAGATTCTTTGTTGCATTCGTCATTCACCGAATTGGTATAAATAAAAGGTTTACAAAATCGAATGTCTTTTATATACAAAGAAACACACACACATATGTATGCATTAGTCATCGCGCGAAATTGTGGAAATGATAATAACTGGCTATTTACAATGAAGCAAAAACAGAAGAGAAAGAAGAAAAACAACAAAAGCGAATCGTAAAATGTGGTGCAAGTCAAATTGTGATTATTATTGGATTTGCGATATATTTTTTGAGCAATCAAATTCGAAAGCATAGATTGCATGGACACTGCTATCAAAAGACAGACACACACACACACACACGCGCGATTCAAACATAAATAAACCGTATAACGGAATGAAATCCCTTGTCATTTCAGTTTATATCTATTACAGTTTTGCTTTGAATAATTCATTGCACGATTCATTGCGTTATGGGCTCAATTGAACCATATGTACAATGCCGCGCGCATCAATTCATTCAATCAAAAAACTTTGTGTTTATTTTGCGGTATTTTGTTGTTGTTTGTTTATTCGGTCGATGATATTCAGGTGATTCCATTTATCGCGATGATACATGCAAATACTCAGACAGTCGCACACACATGAAATGGCTGGCAACCTTGCCCATTAATAAAATTCCTTAATCAATGTTAATGATCCTTTGATTTAAATATGGATTTTTGTTTCCGTTTTTCATTTTCTCCTCTTTATCATTTGTTTTTTGTTTTTGTTTTTTTTTTCATTCTAAATTTTGCAGTGAGTCAGTTCAAACATACTCGTTCGTATTGACAAGCACTGATTCAAAATGGAGATTTGGATTTTGTCGACACGATGCCAAAGCACAAACAGCAATGGTAATCATCACATATTTACCATGGCATGATACATTTTTGAAATTTTTAAATGTGCTCGGTGAAATGAAACGAACATCGAAGAATGATTTTCAACCATTTTTGGCCGAAGCATATGCAAAAGGCGTTCCCGAACCCGGCGCATGTTTGAAACTCTTTTACAATTCCGGTTTGAATGTAAGTCTATCAAATGCAAACAATGAATGTCCATTCAACAATTTAACATTATTCTCATTCAATTATTGCAGAGTTTTATCTTTCAACGTCCGTCACAGTTTCAATTGCCCAGCATTCCAGAGAATCATAATTTGAATTTGTATTATAATTTTGTCGATCCAAAGAATATGATTGCCGTTTTTTCGGCCATGTTGGCCGAACGACGAATCATTTTTACATCGCAGCGTTTAGATCGTTTATCGAGCAGCGTACAAGCGGCCCATGCATTTCTATATCCAATGGTTTGGCAACATATTTTCATACCAATTTTACCATTAAAAATGAAAGAGATTCTATGCGCTCCGATGCCATACTTGATCGGTGTGCCCGAAGCAGTATTGGAAACGGTAATTGTCATTCATCTTCATTGCATTCATTATAAGCTCTAAGGCAATTCCATTCACATAAATAATCATTCATTTTGTTTTTCTTTTCTTTTTTCAATTTCGCACCACGCCACATAGATGACACGAGAAGAACTGGGCGAAGTGGTCATATTGAACTGTGATAATAAATTTTTTGAATCACCATTTGATGATGTCAAAAATATGCCGGCTGAATTAGTGTCACAATTGAAGAAACAATTGAGCAATCAACATGATCACATTGGTGATCGAGTGTCAAAGATATTTCTTGGCGTATTGGTGCAATTAATCGGTGGCTATCGAGATGCGATTAAATTTAGCCAAGGCTCTAAATTGACATGGTGTCGCGAAACGTTTATCGATTCACGACCATCACATTTGCGACCATTCTTACGGAATATGCTTGAATTGCAAATTTTTCAACAATTTATCGAAGAACGTTTGGAGATGCTAAATACCGGTCTTGGATTTTCCGACGAATTTGAATTGGAAACATTGCGACATCACGAGAAACCAAGACGACGTATTAAACCATTTCTACGAAATGTTAAGGATAAAGTGAGTGCAATTGTCATTTTCCGCATCTATGGGTTTTTTAAAAAAATGCTTTTCTCCTTTTCCGTTATGTCATTTGTATTATCTATATATGCGCATTTATCATGGTGGAGAAATTCATGTATACGTTGTTGAAAATTAGTTTCGTCTCGAGGAAATGTTCTTTCCTCTTTTGCTATATTTTGGATCATTTTAACACAGACTCGTCTTTCTATTTTTCGTCATTTTATTCATATTACAGACTAATCCAGCCGTAAAATCTGCTGTGCAGTCGGTGAGTTGGGATTTCATTTTACGTCTTTTGCTTTTTATATTCTGTTTGTTATTTCATAAAATTGCATGCTATCATCGAAAACAAGAGTAACATAATTAAGTTTGCTATTTTACCTACCATTCAGTAGATATGCGTTGAATTTATACATTTTATTAGCTTAACAATATAGAGTATTCAATTATTTTTATTGAATTTAACACGAAAATAGTATAATCGATTATATATGATGTCTTATTTCAGGTGAAACAAGGTGGTCGAGGTGTAAAAACCGCATACAAAGATCTAAAATTGAAACTAAGCGAACGTACACCATCGAAAGGAAGTTCATCATCACGTTCCGTTTCGGTGGCATCCGCATCATCAGCTGGTTATCAACATCATTCAGCACCCAATTCGCCGGTATTTACAAAAAGACCACAGAGTGATTTAATTTCAATTAGTAACAGTAGCACGCATCGCAGCAAACCATCAAAAATGCTTCAAACCTCAAATTCAATGATAAACAATTCAAATTTAACAAATCATTTCAACAATAACATAACAATTAACAACAATAGCAGCAGTAGCATCAGTATCAGTAATGATGCTGCTGTTGCCATGGCGACAATGCCAACATCGACACTCGCCCAAAATGGTAATTCGAAAGCAACAATTGCCGGCAATGCCATTAGTCGTAAGAGTCCAATTACAGTTAGTTCAAGTCCGACCAGTTCGCTATCATCGACATCTGAAATGAACATTTTGCAAGAACTGCAACAACATGCCTTGTTCAAATTACCAACGGTCGATAGAAGTGTAAGTCTCCCCGAATTGACAAACAATCACACATACATTTTTGTTCGTTTTTCTTTTGTTTTTTTTTTTTTATTGTTGTTGTTATTGTTGTTTGAATCAATTTTATTCAATAATATATTAGCTATTTTTTCTTCTGTTCCTTTCTTTCATAAATTTGTGGCCCTTTGAATGTGATGCATCCTGTTTGCAATAATTATAACTTTGTTTACTTATGGGTTATGCTGGTACTTTTACGTAGCTAATAATTTTACCACTTATTTATATCTGGTTAAATTTTCTGGTTTTGCTCAAATAATTTCTTTTTTTTAGTCTCACTATCGTTTACCCTTTCATAGATGTTTTTGTTTTGCTCACATCATACATATGCGCACCACCATTTTTCTACTTTCGAATCTACCATTCCTTTCAGTTTTATTTGAAATCAAACGAACATCGAATTCAATCGCATTTTTATTAATTAGAAAATTGCATGCACCTTTCATCAAATAATATGCATTCATTTTGAAGAAACAAGAACATATGCACATCATAGCACTTTTAGATTGACATTAAACAATAGCTCTATAAAATTTTATTTTTATTTCACATACTTTTTATGTAAGTCTTTTTGTTGGTTTTGCTTTACATTTAATTGCGTAATCTGTTGGTTGATTGTTATTTTTTCGCATTTTTTTTTTTTTCATATTTCTCAGAATATTTCCAGTGTTTCTCAAGAATCTTTTAAGAAATATCTCAGATAAATTGCCCAGACATTTAAGAAAATTGAAAAAATCTTTTTCAGTTTTAAAAATTAAAATGATTTAAATATACATAATGAAAAAAATGAATATTGAAATTTCCCTTTAAAATTACCCAAAAGAATCATTTCAGAAAAGCGTTTTTTTATGTGTAAAAAATGTGAGATATTTTATTGCAATTCATTGACTTGATAAACACATGGAATATTTGATGAAACAATAAATAATTGTGTCATTATTTCCATTATATTTCCGCATATATCATCATTACTGAAAACAAACAAAATAAACCATATAGTTGAAGCCAGTAAATAGTACGGAGTATACAAGACGTTCTAGTCGCAGTGGATCGTTAGTGAATACACCCGATCATCAGCATTATAATTTGACAACGAAACCAAACGTACCAGTTGGATCGGACGATGTTGGTGAATCATCGAACTATTATCTTGAAGCGCGAAATGATTCATCGGCTTCGAATAGTACATCGAATAGTTTTGATGTGCCGCCGGATGTATTGCCACCGGTACCGCCACGCATAACAAACCCACCGCCGCGCAGTAATCGCATTGCGACTAGTGAACATTTAATTATTATTGATACCGATGATCATACCGATGCAGCACCGGTGCCAGTTGCACGTACCAAAACCAAAAGCGCCACTGTTGCCGCCGCCGTCAACACATCATCATCCCAATCGCATGCAAACTATCGAATTGGTTTCGAAAATAATTTTGTACAAAATATAAATTCGTTGAATTTACAGAATAAGAATAATGTCAACCGAAGTACATCATTAATCGAACCCCCACCGCCGCCAAGATCACAAATTCACAAATTGAACACGACCAATGAATCGAAAACGTCCGAGGTATGCCGGATTTTTTTGATCACTTTCACTTTTTTTCTCTCGTTCCCTTTCTCATTTGTATATAATATAAGTTTTTCATGCTTTTTTCGTTTCTTTTAATGAATATTTTATTTTTCATTTGGCTTTTTTATGTGGCTGTGTGTGTCAAGTAAAATTTTGATGAAAACAAAATTTTCTTGAAGAGGTGTTTGATTGACTTCTTTTTAAGTACAAATCAAAAATAATACGCATGGTTGATGCTCTCTCTCTCTCTCTACATTTTTCCATACACAGGCAAAATCCGAATTATTAACGGATCTTATTGAATTGGATTCAAGAGAGGCATCATTTGAGGTGGACGATTTTGATCCGTTGAATCAGAATGCCAAACAAATACCGGCCGTACCGAAGAGATCGACAGTGATTTTACCACAAATTCCATCGTCAATGCCACCATCGAAAGGCGTAGCTCAACCGACCCCACCACCACCACCACCACAAAGTCGGTCACAAGCATTCAGCAATCCAATGTATCCGTATTTTATACCAAGCTACATGCAAAAAGCTGCGATTCCCGCAAATACGATGAATAATACAAAAATTGACGATGACATTGAATTGTTGCGGAAATATGGCTTGGACCGTTTCAAATTGAATTCAAAATCAACGGTGTCATCAAATGACACAATTAATACATTTACAACGCTGGCAAGTGGCAATCCAAATGCGAATCGTACAAATGGCACGAATGGTTTACAATTGAATGGAGGTGATTTACAGCCAAAAACCAATAAAAATTGGACTACATTTGAGTGAATTCATGTTCAACACATTTTTCGAATTGAAAGTGCAAAAAAAGACGAATTGTATCATATTTAAAAAAAAAAGAAAAACAGCCACTTATAATGCATCGTTAATAGTAAATGGGACACATTTCTTATGATTAGCGATGTGTCTTTTTCACTATTCACTATTTATTTTAAGAAACAACTAGACTCACTATGTTTGCAATTATAAATTTTGAAATGAATTTGCTTACAAGAATATAAAAAACAAAAGACGCTGTAAAAAAAACAAATTTTCTTATTTTGTGTGTTGTAAATTATTGAGATGTATATGCTTATTATTTTAGTATTTAGTTAGCGACATTTCTTTTTCAAGAATTTAAGAAAGAGATAAAAACCGATTGCTTGATATTGAAAAATAAAAAAATAAAAAACATAATTGATATATGTAAACTTGGACATAGTTCCGAGTATAAAAAACAATGTCAAATTGTATGATTGCAATTTAGCTTATTAGAGAAAAAAAATCAATATTCGAAATTACTCGTGTTTTTTTCAAAGTCTAAAATGCGTTGAGCGCCCTCGGGATATTTTTTAAAGAAAAGAAACAAAAATGATTAATTCGATTTTGATTGCAAATAAAAAAAATGGGATTCCGTGCTTTTTCACGAATTTAATCGAATATTGCAAATATATATATATTTTAAATTAAGACATGCGGATGGAAGGATTTGATTGTTTGGATTATTACGTTGAATTTTTTTCTGTTCGCGATACCTTTTTTTGTTCGTTATTTGAGTGCGGATTTGACTAGAAAATCGATTGATTTTTTTTTTTATATTTTACTACAAATGAAAAACACGAAAATAAAACCACTTAGCAATTGGTTGAACAGGATTTTTTTTTGTGATGGTATTGAAAAGATGTTTTGAGCTTACACCGTCGGGATGAAAATATTTAAAAGAATTTCTATTTTGAAATATAAATGTGTATATTCAATACATGGGTTTTCTTTCTTTTATTTCTAATTTCTATTACAGTTTTCGTATATATATTTTTTTAATTCAAAAAAAAAAAACAATATTTTTCATTCAATATATTTTGCGAGACTACAATTAACCTAAATTTCAATTTATTCTTTCGATGCTTGTTCTGGATTTTCAACGGATTTCAATGCATCATTTCCAACCAAATTGGTAATTTTTTTAATTTGTTTTGAATCCAATGTGAATGATTTTATTATTTTTCGGCCATATTCAATTTGATCACCGACGCCATGTTCAACGGCATAAGCTAAACATTTGATGGCTTTATTTGGTTCTTTTTGTACAATGCAACTGTCCAAATAAAGTTGCAATGAATTATCCGTAAGATGTCCAATAATGCGATTATCCTTGTCTTCCTCTAAGCATTGATCAACAACAATGGTTGCATTATGGTGATTTTTGGCACGTAAAAGTAAAATGATAATGTTCGCGAGACGTTTGGCTGGTATCAAATCTTTATTATAACGTTCTGCAAGCTCATTGCCCGTTGATTGTCGATAAATATCCCATGCAATGTTTGAAAATTCTTCGGACAATGCGGTATGTTCTTCGACACCGTCAACTAGTCGATTTGACTCCATCACAGCCAACACAATGTCATGAAGTTTTGCATTTCTTACAACACCTGACAATTTAATATGTTGCCAAAATTTCGGTATATGTTGAATTAGTCCGTTTAAATTTATATTGTTGAACACTTCTTCGGCAAGACTTACATCGATTCCATGTGTTTCTGGCACCAATTGATCATAAACATTGATAAATTCGGTGAATGTTTCATTTTTCAAAATTGTATGTAATAAGTCACGATAATAAAGTGATTCGTGATATGAATTGCCCAAAAACTTGATGTTATCCGAATGGGTGACAATATTATCGATGCGTCGTGCAAGTGAACCACAATTTTTCATTCGAAATCTGCAAACGTTCATGGCTTTCGTGAAAAATGTTAAATCATTTTTACTGTGCGCCACCAAATTTGGATTTCGTTCAAGCCGATCGACAATATCATTCAAAAATGTACCATCAACTGTCTGCTTACCATGATATATATCCAATAAGTAAATATACGTTTCGAGTGACGGTTCAATATTGAGCGCCAAAAATTCACCCATAATTTGTGACGTTTGCATTTGAAGGTATGTTATATTTTTGTTAAATTTTAACGTTTCCAAGCATGCATTTAGCGTATGAACATTTGGTTTAATTTGCTTTTCATTTAATTCGGTTAAAATTTTTAGAATCTCATCATAACGCTTATCGTTTGGCTGATGACGATGAGTGAAGCCACGAATATGTGCATTGTACGTTGCCAAATCCAATGGAATTTGATTTTCATTAGCCTCAATGAATAATTGACTGGCATGCTCACTTTGATTATATTTGTATAATCCACGAATCATTGCATTGTATGCGGCCGGTGTTTTTGGTTCAATGCTATTGTACACTTGATCGACCACACCACTTTTTTTCCATGGACTATGTACTGGATTGTTGCGTTTTTCAAATTCAGCTATAGCTCGTTCTTCATACATATCGAATGGAAGGGGATTTTCTTGATTGAAAAAGCACAGACATTCAAGCAGACTCTGTTTCAATTCGTCTGTGATGGTAATATTTTTCTCCACCAATAAATTATAAATTGTAATGGCATCGCTCACATTTATCGTATCAATCGCCTTTTCTAAATCTTTTACATTCACTTCACTGTCTTGGGTGAATATTGTCTTTGGCATAAATGCTTCGATTTGTGGTTGTGCATCCTTTCCCTAGAATAATAACCATACAAATTAAGAAATGTTCGCAATTTAACATAAGATCGATTTATATTATCTTCTTACATTGAAGTATTCAGAGTGTTGTTCCACAAACCACTTTGCAGTTCGTTTGCCGGATTCTTGTGATAAAGCATATTTCTCTCGCATTGTGTATGATACTGGTGTAAGATACGGATCATCATGAAATTTGTAATGCGATGATGTTGGATCTCTTCCAACAGTTTTTGACAGAGTATACAGTAAATCAGTGGGCGAACGATTGATCTTCTTGGGAATCACAATGCATTGATTATCGTTGCCACTTGATTCGCTCGTTTGTACAGCGGCCACCGTTGATTGTCTTACAAATAAATTCTGAATGATTCTCGGTTGTCCATTGCATTTCAATTGACTGATTCGTAACATTCTGTCCACAATTTACACACCCACTTCACTGATCAATCAAAGTCGGAAATAATATATGTTTTTTGCAGATTGAATTGAGTTTTGGTTAGAAATTACATATACATGAACCACATTGACAGCTTCACAAAGTCACAAATCGTACAATTCGAATTTAGGTTAGGTTACATGACTTTTTCTATCTTGTCTTAATAAAATAAAAACCACTCACGCCATCTGTTGGCGTTCAAATTAATTTACCATTTTTCTCATGTGGTTGCTTTTATTTAAAAAACAAATGCCCTATATACAATTTTTTTTGTATTACAATATAATATCTAAAAGAAATGGCACGCGTAAAGTGTATGTGGGTGTATGTGGGTGTGATGTATCTTAAATTTTTCCCGTATCTTGTAAACGAAGTAATGCATTGGTCAGATTATTCATGGCTTCAACTTTAACCTTTTCCACGCGCTCTTGCAGCATAATGGCCATTTTTTGGAAATTCATTCGATCTTTGTGACGTTCATCCTCTTTGTCCATTCGCTTTCGTTCCAATTCTAATTTTTGTTCAAAATATGTCTTCCACCAGCATTCGTCATATGTAGTTGTTACATTTTGTGCAGCGATAAATGAATTGTCATTATTCAAAATGCTGCTATCGTCGGCTTCTTGACGTTTTCGTTTTTTTGTTCGTGGCGATGGACGATATTCTGGATCTGATTCTGGTGAAAGACTCTCTCTATTTTTATATATTAATAGAATTTTTATGTCAATTTCAATTGCAAACGTATTTTTTGTTTGTCATATTTTCTAACATACCTATATGAAGTGTCAGCCGTTTTTCGTTTGGACATGCCATTTTGTTTCGGCGGCTGAACAGGCTCCGTTTCACTATAGTCTAATGAATTTTCATCGGCAATTTTCTTATTCCGGAATATTGCGTGCATATCCTCGAAAAATTCCCAATTAACTGAGCTTGGGTCACGTTCCGTATTTTTCTGATATGTAATAGTAATATTATGCCATTTTTTGGACACTTTTTCCGATGTAAAATCGTAACCAGCCTCTCGCATTTTATGCGATATTTCCAGCCATAGCTGACTTTTGCGGGCACCACTTTGATCAAACTCAGCATCACGTTCGCCACGTAATTTAATCAAATATCTTGTTGCATCCGTTGTCCAACAAAATGGTGGTCGTACCGCTGAATCCGTATAGCCTATATGCAAATTGATTTTGTGATGTTAAAAAGAGTACTTCTCCCATTTTCTTTGGAAAATCATAGTTGTTTTGAATTTCATTTAACTTACTGTTTTCGTCATCAACAAGCAATGGTTCCAGTAAATCGGAATGATAGTTGCCTTCAGCTTTGGCTATTTTAACGCCAAACGATCTAAACTTTATTTCGTCTAAAGCGAAAAAATTCAATTGATAAGTAAAGTTTGGATGTTGTTGTTTTTTTTTTTTTTAACAGAATGCCATGGATACCTTTGTTATCTTCTAATTCATAGTCTTCGTCATCGTCATACTCTTCGATATGTTCATCGTATTCATCACTACGTCGTCTTGATTTTGATGATGTTTCATGTTTGCTGCGACGTTTTTGTGAGGCTGGTAGCGCATCCAATTCGGCTAATGACAATGGCTTAGCCGTTTTAATGAGGATCTTACGTGTCGAGTAGTCAAGAATTTGATTTGGAAAATGTATTTCGCATACATAGTAATTATTAATAGTGATGTCACCGATATCGACACGCCTCGACAAATCGGGCCTTTCACAAATCTCAAGCCATTCTTTCGACCTGTGTACGCGTACATAGAGAAAGATGAAATGAATTTTTGAATTTAATTGAAATTGATAGTGGGCTCACCTTGATAGCTCTTTTGGAAATCGAAAAAAACTCATATTTGGACATCGCTGATGATTATTATTACATCCTGTCATTGAGCATTGTTTTCCTTTGCGTCCACTGATCGGCATATCGCTGGAATCATCCAACGAATATTGATTCATTTTGACCTTTGGTAACCTTCAGCGATAAAAGAAACGAAATGTTGACCTATAAATTCTATGCGCTAAATCATTAAATAAAAGAAAAAATTCATTGATTATTTGCTTTTGTGGAAAAATGATTAATTTTGCGAATTTTTTTAATTTTTCATGTTTTTATTTTTATTTTAAACGAATACGAATTTCCAGCTGTCTATATATAAATCAAAGTAAAAAGTAATACCAAAAAAAAAGTGACAGCGAACCACATGGTCTCTGAGTTCAATTATGAATATCATCTGTTTTAATCATACGAACATTTGTAAGAAGAATTTTGGTCAAATAAATTATGACATAATTACAGATACATCAAGGAAACAAAATAATTCATCGATAAATGCTCGACATAGTTTAACAAAGAAATTTAAGTTTGTGTGTGATGTGTTTGTTCTGCCGGCAGTAAAAGAAAATTCATTTTTTGTGTGTTATTGTTTTTGAAGCAACACTCAGTACGCATGCGATCTATCTAATTTACCCAATGTGCATCATTGAATGAGCATGGAAAATGTTTCCCTCAAAAATATCTAGGATATCTCAGACTTTTACTTAATTCTATTTTCTCTTGACGTTCTGTGAATAATATTTTAACAATTTTTATAGAAAAAAAATGACTTGCCCTATTTATTCAATGAATTCGAATTTATTGATGGAAAAAAATGAATACATCAAATGTGTCAGTTTGAATGTAAGTCCCAGCGGAAACCAAAACTGTGATATGAATGAAAACCAATGTAAACACACATGATTTTAAAGTTTGTTTTTAAATTTATAGCAATACTGCTGTTTATCATTTATCATTTGCAAAAAAAGAAAGACTACGACAAAATGATACAATGGCAATTGAGTCAGAGAATCACTGAGCTAGAATTCTTTGGCGCTCGGTAGACTAAACCCTCGTATCGGTGTTGTTTAAATAGAGCAAATATGCATCAAACATACATTCGTAGTTGTTTAGATATTTGGTCGTACCATACACAATGCCTAATATAGTAAGTGACTTGCTTTCATATTCTCCTTTACTCTCTCTTTCTCTCTCTCTTGTTATCTCTCTCTCTCTCTCTCTCAACGAACCGTGTATAGCTATATGTGTAGGAGAAAAGACGTGCGAAAACATTGATGCAGAATTTGTGGTGATACTCTACTAAGTAATAGCACGCGTCTCTGTCTGTTTCTACTGTTCGTCGTATGCAATTCTTGAAGTAATTCTTCGCTTCAATTTTTGCAAGGTTTTTTATTATTGTTGTTGTTGTCATAAATGATATTAGTTACGTATATTGTTGTTCGTATTTTCTACTTTCTTTGTTCAGTTCATTTATATTGATCGCACATCTGTGACTTTCAAATACCCCTCGACAAAAGTATCAGATTTTTTTTTAATGTTAATTATTTGTTAAGAATATCGACGATAAATTTCGTAATTAATTTAAACAATTTAATGAATTGAAATAAAATTATACTAAACTATTTCTTAATTTATAAATTCCAATCGAATGTAAATTGATCAAGTTACCTATGATAGGTGACTCCGAGGAACGGCGTCCAAGCGTTCTACGTATGTGTGATTATAGGGAAACTAATTGTTGATGAATTTTATGGATAGAAACTTCGTTGACTCCGTGCTCATCAAATTGCCAATAGCAACTAGCTTCGCTAAGTTACCAACCGAGAATTCTTGAAATAAAAATTCTGAACTCTCCGTCCGCTTAACGCACATACACTTACAAGCACACATACATACCCGCCAAGCGTGTTCACCTATAAAAAACAAAACAAAAAAAAAAAATAAACCGACTACCGACTGACTGGCTGAGAGAGAGATACCAAAGCTCAACTCACAATATGTGTGGCACGAATCACTGGAAAGTAAGGAAGGCAGAGAGAAAAGAGAGAGATAGAGAGAAAGAGTACGAAGAGAGATAGAGAGAGAGCGAAAGGAAAAAATAAAAGGAACCATAATACATTATCTACATCAGGCGAACGCTATACGCGTTGTGTGCCTCGTATCTCTGTGTGCAGTTTTGAACACTAGAGCGAGAGACATGAACTCAAAATCCACATTTGAACCTTCGTTCCTTTCGGCTGCATGTACCGAACGTCTATGGTATATGCGTTGTATGCATACTTTACATACACATTGTATCGCACCCTTGCTGATTCGCTTCTCGATAATGTTTTCGTCCGAGTGTGTGCCAACGAACCAAAAATATTATTTTCTCTTGCTTGTACTCTGTCTCTCGTTCTTTCTCCCTCTCTCTCTCTCTCTCTCTCTCTCTCTCTCTCTCTCTCTCTCTCTCTGTTGCTTTAATATTTATTGAACGAAATAAAAGCAAACTTTACAGCACTATATGCGAAGAATAAGACTCTCTATCTACCTACCTACCTTTGGAACCATGAATATTCTTCTATATTGACATAAGGCTTCTGAGCGAACATTGACTATATGTATGTGAGCAAGATTTCATGCTTTTTGGATACGAGCAAGAGAACCTATTTTTCTTTATCCTTATGCTCAGCTAACTCTGTTATTCACTTACACTCATTATACAGAGATTCAAGTTTTCCAACAACAACAAAAACTAGATTGGTTCTTATATAACTCAATAATACTACCTCATATTCGGTGATTTCAACTCGAAGCAACCTGACTGAAATTAAAAAGGATAACAAAAACCAAATGCGTAATTTGTTTAGAAAATAAATTGTGTGTGTGTTTTTTTTTTTTGTAAATTTTTCAATTTTTAAAAATACAATTAAAATGTAGATATATATCTTATAACAAATTATATTATCATCTACAAAATGGTCGTCAATACAAATCTATTGCTGATTTAAATGTTGTTAAATTACAAAACGAAAAGAAAATGCACTTACTATCAACAGAGAAAAAAAAAAACTTAATTGAATCTTTTGTACAAAATGTGTGTATGTAGCAAAACAAAAAAAAATATAGAAGAAATGTATTTAATTGATTCACATGCTCATTCGGCTGGAGTTGTTTGATTAGATTTGGAATTGCTCGGATCGTTTTCACTTTTTTCAAAGTGTCCTTCAATGTTGTTGATATTTTTGGGCGCTTCGTCATCAATCACGTCGTCTACATTGTCGTCCTCATCGTCGTCGTCAATGTCACTAACACTTCTCGGTCCATATTCATCTTCATCAATAATAATTTCAATGCTCCACAATGATCGTGCCGCATCTTTGAATTTCTCAATGCATGCACGAATATCATCTTCGCTGCTGCCCGGACTAAGCGCTTTACACAATGTTTCAATCACATCTTGTTTAATATTTTTGAGGCTGGCTTCAATTTGATCTTGTGTTGCATTTTTACTGGTTCGTGTTATATATTCCAAAATCGTCATATTCACATCAATGCCACTGACCTCTTCTTCATCATCATCACCTTCATCCTCATCATCTTCCCATTCACTTTTCGCATCGGCATTTTGTTTTTTCGATAGTTTGGCCAAATGTTGATCGATTAATGACCAAATTGTGATGATTTTTTGATAGCAATTTACATCGAATGGATCGTCCAGCGTTTGAATTAGTTCGTTGACATTTTCGATAAGAATTTGTTCATTGGACGACAATGGTAATAAATAAACGGGACAACAAAGTGGTTGTAAACATTTTGAAATGCATTCCATTAACTGTGGAATGAATGGTTCATAGCATTTTCGTGATATGCTGTCGTATTGTGAGAGTATCACATTGATGTCAAGAAATAGATTCATGATGCGTTGCGTTCGTTTTGTTGGCGCCGAAATGTCATCATCGATAATTTGACTGTTATTTGCCTGAGAATTTTCACCGGCGGCATTGCTGCCAATGTCACCACCATTTGTACACTTTTCAGATGGAATACGTGGCATATCCGGTAGCATTTGTTTGAATGCTTCAATCACACCGGATACCAGTATTGGTTTTACAAATACATCGCGAAAACCACTCGAATCGGCAATTTCTGGCTGAATTTCGATCACCGCGAATTTTGTACAAATTGCATTGAGTGCTTCGTACGCATGCACCAGCAACGATGTGCTCATTGAATTGGCCAATAAAAATGCAAAACGATCAACAAAATTGTCCGCACAACGGAAATGTTGAAACCATATATATTCATCGCCACTATTTTCAAATACCAGGCACGTATGGAACAAACGCATCAATTGCACCAAAATCAATGAATCCGAACATGAAATTAAATCAATGATCGGTATCATGACATCGGGATGTTGGCACAGTGCTTCGCGCGTTTGTTTTAACGAGCACATATTACCAATTATCCCAAGCAAAATTTCCACCAAACGTTGATCTTCGCTCATTTGGATTAAAGATGAGAAAATCTCAAGCACATTGTGTTCCAATAATAATTTAATGACATCTTTTTCAATTGTCATGTCCCACAATGTGCACAAATCCTTTTCAAATTCTTCACTTAGCTTACTTTCTACTTTATTGAGATTTAATAATGTTTGCAGAACGAAACGTTTGCTATAAAGTGTATCGCCAATGGCGTCAACCAAAAATGTATCTTTTAGCACATCGGGCACTTTATCGGGATTACAGTTTTCAATGTTGTTATCCGACTCAGCGGTTGTTGTTGGAGCACCAGCACCATCAATTAAAGTTGGCTTTTTTGCTAATGGTTCGGGTTCAACTGTATCGGCGGTACCATTTTGCGGTGGAATCTGTGTGCTCGACTCGGAATTTATTGTTTCATTTTCGGGCTGCACAGAATCCATGATACCCGCAATTTATTTTTTGTTTTGCCAACACACGAAATAAACTTCAATTGAAAATTCTATCTTCGTTTTCTGCGTTAACCAAATTTTCCTTTGGAATATTCAGCTCAACTGACTTTCAAAATTTTGAATGAATTTTTTTTTGTCTCTCGACCGATTATTTAGGCCAGTCTGCCTGACGAGATTGTTTATGTTCGAATTTCATACGAGCACTGAAGCAATGGAAACACCAAATGACATAACGAAGCTACGAACAAACATCGGCTTGACGTTGTTGACCACAGCGTAATTTTTTTTTCTTCTCTCTTTCACTCTTTACTCTCTTTTTTCTGCTTTCGGCTTTTCACTTTTCAACACAAAACACACAATTTTTAAAGCATGACACCTAATTACAAACGAATAGGCTTTTTTACAAAATTAATTATGATTATCGGTCACCGTTTTGTAAGTGCATCTTTCACGTTTGGATCCAGTTCTGACGCTATTGTAGCTATCTAATTAAGAGAAGTGAAATTGCGTTTGCTTGTCTCTAGTAATGGAGAGAATATACATTCGTCAAATGTATAAATTACAAATAGAATTTGACACAAACCGAATTTTGACAGTTTAACTGTCAAACGGCAAACATAACTAACGATAGACATGGCGTTAAATACACGTCTTTTTGGTAGAGTTTTTTTTTGCTTTTGTTGTTCTTTCTAACTAATTTGCGTTTAAACAAATACCAATGAAATTGTGATTAGTGTTTTCTAGGCTAATTATAATACAAATCGGATTTGGTCGGTTTTTTGTCTATCCCAAACTGAATGTCTGCACCGAGAAAATGACGAACAATGAATCGTATCGTCTGTGCGCTTTAAATAACAACGATCACAAATTTATTCGGAAAGAATGGCACCGAAAAATGCTAGACATCATTTGCAAATATTTTAGGTACGAAGTACTATAAAATTCACATTGACCGTACGTTTTTAAAATTGAATTTTTTTATTAATTATTCTAGATCAGTGAGAGTGATCCTTTGTTGACCACAACGGATTCATGAAAATCCGAAATATTTAAGCCGAAATTCCGGAAATTGATAAAAATCAAAATCAAATCGAACAACATTGGGCAACAGAGATGCTTGAACAACAATTTAATGAGGATGGCATTGGAATGGTCAAAATTGAACCAAGTTTTGGTGAGACATTAATCTTTTTGAAGCTACACTTTTTTTGCGTGCGGAAATTTGAAAATTTATTTTTTTGAATAGAGGATTCACTTGATGGTCAACCAGATTTTGATGAATCGACTGAGTTGAATGATGAAATTACCAAAAAAGACTCAAACTTGAAAGATGAGAATCGAAAGGTTGCCGGTATGTAAAGAAATTGTCCATTGTTCATAAATTATGATGATACCATTTATTATAGACAAAACACAAAATCTTTGCCAAAATCGAAGGCAATCCAGCCAAGCTAAACAAAAGAAGATTGATTTTGAAAAGATATTTTCTGAAAATAAACATCGATTCGATATGTCGTGTGATGTGTGCCCAAAATCATTTGATTCTTTGGATGAGGCAAAGACTCACTACGCAACCGCTCACGATAATCCATACGGTTACATTAAATGCTGTAATTTAAAATTGAATTATCGATGTGTGATCAAAAAACATCTCGATTGGCACTTAGAAAAATTCAAGTTTGTATTGAACATTTCTCATTTAATCGATGGTCATTTGAACAATAAGCCACCTTTTACACTTTCAGATGTGAACAATGTGGAAAAGTGTGTCGTGAACATCAAGCGCTTAAAGTGCATATGAAACAACATTCAGACGATGCACGAGAACAGTATATTTGTGATCTGTGTAAAAAACGATTCACATCGAAAGTTGGAATAAGGCGCCATTTACATTGGCATACCGAAAACAACAAGAAAACTGACGATGATCAATGCCGAAAATTTATTGCCGACAATTTTGACTTGAATTGTGATCAGTGCAGTTATGTCTTCACCACATTTCATGATGCAAGACGTCACTACAAGGATTTACACAACGAAAAGAAAGGCTATATCAAATGTTGTGACATCAAATTAAATGAATATTGGCAGGTCATCGATCATTATATCGGTCATCGAAATCCATCTCATTTTAAGTGCGTTGTAAATCGAATGAATTTTGGCTATTTTTAAATGGATTTTAAACTACAAGCAGTTCTTTTACATTTTACAGATGTGAGATATGTAACAAATGTTATGCCGATCGGAAGAAATTTTATTTGCACAAACGAAGGCACAATCAAGCGTCAACGATGTCATTTATTTGTGATTTTTGTGGGAAAAAATTCCGAAGCAAAGAAACCATTTCACGGCATTTTTTCGCAAAGCACATTGACGCAGAACCGACATTTGAATGTAAAATTTGCCATAAAAGGTAGCATGTTCACACATTTTTCTCAAGAATCTCTCTATTTTTGTTTTCCTTTTTTTTTCTTTTTTTTTAGATTCCAATTGATGTCTCTACTGCGAAATCATCATTATGCAGTGCATCGTGAGAAAAAGGAGAAACTTGTTTGTGAAACCTGTGGTAAATCGTTTAATGTAAAGGCAAATTTTGATAAACATATGCTATCACATGCTGATAAATCACAACGATTGGCACAACGTAAACAATGCGACCATTGCGGTGAATGGGTAAGAAGTGAAATTTCATTAATGAAAAATTGCTATACATTCTTTTGATTATTTTTCCATTATCATCATTCACTTACATCCTTTTTTATGTGATTCAACCTCGCCCAGGTAATGAGCAAAAGTGGATTATATTATCATGAAATAATGCACAAGAGCGGTGTTCAGAAGTGTAATCAATGTGAAATGGAGCTACCACATAAATTGGCTCTATTGGCTCACATTCGAAAATGTCATAGAGAACTAAAGCATAAATGCAAATTCTGCGACAAATCATTTGACATTTTGTCAAAGTTGAAGGTAAACATTTTTTTCAATTTATACATTTCGATTGGTTTCAACTAAAAAGCTTAATTTTTATGTCTTTTTACTAAAAAAGGAACACGAAGACGGCCATACTCGACAAAATGTATATCCTTGTAAATACTGCAATAGAGCGTTCACCGTACAATGTTCAAGACAAACACATGAACGAAGAAATCATCCGGACGAGATAAGGGAACGAAAAAAAATGCGCAAATTATTAGAATTTCCTTGATAATGTGTATAAAATACCGGGGTATTGCCATTTATCGCAAGACACTATTCACATTTAATTTGCTATGTGTTTTTTTTTTTCGTTTTACTCAAATGTTTAAACGTTTTGAATTTGTTATAAAAGTGTAGTGTTTGATTATTAGCAATGTTGGAAATTGTTTCATAATTTTACTCTTTTAAATGTTTTCACACTCAAAGCTAGAACATTTTAACATGAAAACGAAGCTGCGAAGATTCATCTGTAGAATGGCATTCAGAAGAATTATTTTTATTTCAAGTTGTGTTTTTATTCTAACCCAATCATTTAAAGAGTACCAACATTTCAATAGAAAATCCTCATTCCCGTAGATTTTTTGCAATATTATTAGAAAATAAAAATGTAAAGCATTTCAAAGTGTATCATGCCTGAAAAATAATGTCAAAAAATTAATTTTTTGAAGTAAAAAACGAATGTTTCATTCAAAAATACCATTTCAAAGTAGGTAAACAAAAAAGAAAATCTGACAACACTATGATTTGACAGTACTATGATTTGACAGTAGTCGTCAAATTGAAACTTCACAGTCTAAACAAATGCTTCTTTGAAAGTTTATTTATTTATTTTCTTCTTTCAACATTCCCTACCCAATAATTAGGCACAAGCAAATACTTTTGTCCAAATGAGTGGAAAATGTTGCCGTTTGTGCTCGTGCACGAATGCCAGCAATTATTTGGATATATTTAGTGATGCTGGAATTGAAATGAACATCAGCAAAATAATTGGTGAACATTTCAAACACGAAGTAAGTGAAAATGAATTCAACAATTCAATGGGATGTTAAAATATAGTAAATAAATCTTTTGGCATTAAGGTTCGTGAATCCGATACGTTTCCAAATTATGTGTGCCAAAGTTGCTGGCAAACGACCGATGCTTTTCACGAGCTCTATGAAAAGTCCAAATTGTCAATGGAAAAATTCTTGAATCCAACGATAAAATTGGAGACAAATTATTGGCAAAGTAACAATGAAGTTCATTACATAGAGGAATCTCAACTTCTCACAGACTCTGTCAAACTTGAACCAAGTATAGGTAATAAAATGTACAACATTTGGATTTTTTTTATTACATTTGTTTTATATTTTATGTGGTCAATAATAAACAGTGGACTCAGATTCAAATGAAAATGATCGAATTGACTTAGATGAAAATACAAATGACGAGAATAGCAATGAAGAGAACAGTAATGAAGAAAGTGATGAGAATGGCATGAATGAAGTTGATCAAGACAATTCAGGTTTCAACAAAGAAAGACCAATTTGTAAGTAATTTTGAAAACGAAAAAATCACAGACTGTTCTCCTGAAGAGAAGGAATGGTGAGGTGGAAAATGAAGATAGTACTGGGGGTCGTCTTCCTCAACCAATTTCTGTCACAAAAATATGACTCCACATTTTCCTACTTACCATTATTCCTCATGAGCGCAACAGCCCCCTTGAAAAATGAATGTTAATTTAAATCAATGTCAAAACTAAAAATGATTTGCAGCCAAAAAGAAACAACAAAGAACAAAACGAAAAAGTAAGGCATTACAGTTTGAAAAATTATTCACCGAAAATCGGCAACTATTTGATATGAATTGTGATTTTTGCGAAACAAAATTCGAGACGCTCGATGATGCCCGACAGCATTACGCAAAAGTACATAAAAATCCAAAGGGATATATTAAATGTTGTAATATAAAACTTATATATCCATGCAAAGTCGTACAACATTTGCAACGCCATTTGGAACCTCTCAAGTTTAAATGTACCAAATGTCCAAAAGTTTATCTAACCGATCGCGAATTAGCCAAACACATAGACTCAAGACATAAAGGGGCGCCAATTCGTAAAGAGAAGACGGTACCATGTAAAATTTGCCGAAAAATGTTCACTACAGAACAAAGTCTGGACTATCATATGCGACGGCATCAGGAAAAAGATGAATCCGAAGACGGACAGTTTGTGAAATTTATAGCTGAAAATTTCGATATGAAATGTGATCATTGTGACACAGTATTCTCTGCATTTCATGATGCACGCCGTCACTACAAGGAATTCCACAATGATGATAAAGGCTATCTTAAATGCTGTAAAGTAAAATTAAGAGAACTGTGGCATGTACGCGACCATATTCGATCACATTTGGATCCCGAATGCTTCAAATGCAATGCGTGTGGCAAGAGCTTTTCAACGGGAATGATGTTGACCCAGCACAAACGACGCCATAAATTAACACTGAATAAAAGGTTCAGTTACACGCATCTTTTTGTAATACGTTTTAACTCTATTGAATAATATTTAATTTGTATCATTTTTTCATCGTAATTTAGGTTCGTCTGTGATTATTGCGGTAAGCTTTGCAGGGATAAACATGCAATTATTCGCCATCTTTTTACAAATCACGTCAATTCTGAACCGGAATACGAGTGTGATGTTTGCCACAAAAAGTATGACATTTTTCTATTCGGTTTTTTTTTTGTTCTAATAAAGCAGCATTTTCATTTAGATTCCAATTGGCCTCACTGTTAAAGTCTCACAAATATACGGTGCATCGTGAGAAAAAGGCGAATCAAATTTGTTATATTTGTGGAAAAGGTTTCTATGTGAAGTTCCATCTCGATAAACATATGTTGTCGCATGCTGAGAAATCGGAACGATTGGCTGAAAGTAAACAATGCGAATGGTGTGGCGAGTGGCTGATGACCAGAAGTGGAATCTATTATCATCAACAAAAGCACACGAGTGGCATTCAAAAATGTGACGAATGTCAAGCAGAATTTACAAATCGTGTTGCATTGCTCGGACACATTCGACAGTACCATCGCGAACACAAATTCAAATGTACCTATTGTGATAAAACTTTCGCCACCAATTCAAAGATGAAGGTGATTGCAAAAATAAATGAATTTAATTTTTTTTTTACTGAAACTCTACTCAATTCCACAGGCACATGAAGAGTCTCATACACGGCATAAAGTATATCAATGTAGATTCTGTCCAAGAACATTTTCTGTTCCAAGTTCGAGGCGAACACATACACGAAGAAATCATTTAGAAGAAATTAAACGAAGAAAGAAAACGGAAGACGTAACAATTGCACAAAAGAAACTAACTGTGGACAACTGAATGTTTTCTTTAGAAAAAATTTGAATTTAAGTAAAAGACATCAAATAAATTATTTAAAAAAAGTCTTCATGTTTTTTCCTTAATTTTTCTATTGCTCATAATTTTATATGCATGTCATATTAAGAAAATTCATATTTCTTTGTTCTATAGCCCACACTCAATTACATTGTAAGTTCATGTAGTAAAATAAATCTAAAAAAATATGTAACGATTTTATGAGAAGATGAAAAATTAAAATAAACAGAAAAACACAAAACAGTTTTTGTCAAAGCTAGCAAGTAAACAAGTAACATATTTGTTGCCTTTTTGGAGCAATGTGAGCAGCTTTTTGTGATTGCTTCCAGGTAAGTGCATATGTGATTTAATTGAAAGTGTTGCTGATAAAAGATGAAAAAAAAACCTTTGCTTGTTTCTTAGGTTTTCAGATTGTAAGATTTGGGGTAGTTTTCTCAAGAGCTTCTTGAAAAATGGCAAAATTTTCTTCCAACTTTGTAAAAGGGTCATAAGAATTCGTAAAGAAGATAATATTTTTTCAAAGCACGGGTCAAAGAAAAATAAAAAAAATAACGACCCTAAAAGTGTATTGGACATCTGACAACCCGAATAATCAAATGACATTTATACTGTCAAAACCATACAAACTATCAACATTTTTTTTACAAAGTATTCTGAATATTTACTATTTTTATTCATTTCGAAAAACAAAACAAAAATTGAAAATTGTATAGAACAGGGCTCGTCACAAAAAATGTCATTCACAAATTCGTGCCGGTTGTGTTTGACCATAAACAATGGCAATCACCTGGATATATTCAGTGTCAATGGAATGGAAATGAAAATGTGCGAAATTATTGCCGAACATTTTAAATGCGAGGTAAACAAATTCAAGACTCCAAATGGACGATTTTCAATAACAAACCAAATTTGATCGAATCATACTATAAATGTTAAATTCTCTTAAATAAAGGTAAATGTGTTGGATTCATTACCGAATTTCATATGTCAAGTGTGTTGGCATTTAACGGAAGCATTTCATGAATTATATCAAAAGTCGAAAGTCACACTTGAAAATCTATTGAATCGATCGATTAAAATTGAGCCAGAGGTGAATGAGTCGTGGCCAAGTTACCATGCAGTCCAGTATATTGAAGATTCACAACCAGAAATTGGTCTGATAAAAGTCGAAACGATTTTGAGTAGGTAGCATTTACATTGTATTATTCGGTCAATTTAAAAATGTGTTTTCTTCAGAAACGGAACAAAATTCAAATAATTCGAAAACGATCGAAGAATCAGATTCAAATGGTGTTGATCCCATTGATTTCGATGAAAATACGGATGAATCAGATGATGATAGTAACAATGCAGAGAATGTTGAATCAGATGTTGAAGAATCAGCAAAAGAAAAGGCAGTAATACCCACTGAAAGTGAGTAACTGAAAAGCACTTTCGAAATGTATGACTTTTTTTTTTTAAATTGAACTCAATTCAATAGCTATAGATAAACCAAAACGAAAGCGAACTAAAGCGAAGCAACTTAAGGCCAACTTTGAAAAGCAATTTGCCGAAAATAAGCAGTTGTTTGATATGTCATGTGATTTATGTCCAACCATTTTTGAAACACTATACGAAGCTCAAGAACATTATGCAAAAGAGCACAAAAATCCACGTGGATATATCAAATGTTGCAATCAACGGCTTATTTATCCGTGCTTCGTGTTGAAACACTTAGAACGACATATCAATCCAAATAAGTATAGGTGAGATTAAAAAAAATGTTTATTTTTCGATTTGATGAGATTTTTCGATTGAATTTACAGATGCTCGCAATGCGAAAAAGTATTTTTGTGCAATATTCAACTCACTAAACACATGAAAAAACACACCGAAAAAATCGTTCCGAAAGAAAAAAATCTACCATGCAACATATGTATGCAACTGTTTCTCACACAATCTGGTCTCGACCATCATATGCGACGACACCAGGAACGAGATGAATCCGAGGATGGTCCTGTGATGAAGTTTATAGCCGAAAATTTTGATATGAAATGTGATCATTGCGATACAATATTCAGCGGATTTCACGATGCACGCCGTCATTACAAAGAATTACATAACGACGAGAAAGGCTATATTAAATGCTGTAATATAAAATTAAGGGAATTATGCCGTGTTCGGGAGCACGTATTAGTAGGTTGAAAGCAATTTAAGACACTTTTATTCGAAGTCCTATGGCTAAAAAAAAATGTAATTTACTTTTATTTTGAAGTCACACTTGGATCCAGATTGTCTGAAGTGAGAAAACCTCAATTCGAATCGTTTTATCAAAAGATCTTAAATATATTTTTTGTGTTCATTTCAGATGTGATATATGTGCAAAGAGTTTTCCAACGGGACTGAGGTTGGCTCGACATAAACGCCGCCATAAGATGAAGAAAAGGTACATTTTTGTATTCACATATTTTCCTCCTTGAAATGTTATAATCCAAAATTGTTTCTTAATTTAATGTTTCAGATTCCTTTGTGATTGCTGTGGGAAATCTTATGGGGATAAACTTGCAATCACTCGTCATCTTCTCAGTATTCATGTCAATTCGAAACCGAAATACGAATGCGACATATGCCAGAAAAAGTATGCCATTCCTTTAATTTAATTTATCGGTGTATTTCAAACGGTCAATTTCATTTTCAAATAGATTCCGGTTAGACTCACTATTGAGAAATCACAAATATGCCGTGCATCGAGAGAAGAACCGTTTTTCTACGTGTGAGGTATGCGGAAAATCTTTCTATACGAAATTCCACTTGGATAAACATATGCTTTGCCATATGGATAAATCCGAACGATTGTCGGAACGAATACAGTGTCAATATTGCGGCGAATGGCTTATGACGAGAAGTGGTGTCTTTTATCATCACCAAAAACACACGAGTGGCATCCAAAAATGTGGTCAATGTGAAATGGAACTACCAAATCGAGTTTCACTACTTGGACACATTCGACAATACCATCGAGAACATAAATTTAAATGTAGCTATTGTGATAAAAAATTTCCCACCAGAGGAACCATGAAGGTGATTTAAAAAAAATATATCATTTCAAAATGACAAATATTTTAAAACTCTTCATCATTTTCATAGGCTCACGAAGAATGTCATACACGGCATAAAACTTATGAATGCGAATTTTGTCCGAAAACGTTCAACAACAAACATTCCATAAAAACACACACACGCAGAAATCATGGCGAAGAAGTTAAAATTAAAAAAATGTATTTGAATAAAAATTAATAGGAAAATAAATGGAAATTGTATTTTTCAATTACGCATAATCATGATATCAGACAATATATTTAGCTGCCGTCATCTGGATATTTCAGCTCATCTGGATGCCGTCAGCAGATGATACGAATTGAAAACAATAGAAGTGATTGTTATAGTAATACCATTATATAACAAGCTTATATACCTATAACAATCACTTCCATTGTTTTCACTTCGTATCATCTGCTGACGATATCCAGATGAGCTGTAATATCCAGATGACGGCAGCTAAATATATTGTCTGCATGATATTTAGGTATTTTCATAGGGGAACGCTGCGGATTGTCTCTTATCTCTTTAATCTGTTCTTCAAAAAAGAAACTTTCCTATATACATCACCCCATTGCACTATTTTAATCCCAAAAAATATTGCAAAGTAGAGTAAGCGAAAGCAGTTTGAATTTAATGAACACTTCAATGTTTTAATCGAAAAATTAATGAATCATTCATTTAAAATATACGCGAGCACAGGTGCTCTTGAAACTTTGGCTATTGATTTTTGGTATGAAATTAGTAGGCAGTAAATTTTTGGAGAAAACGTCGCCAGCTTAATTATCATAATTTAATCATGTCATTTTTAAAAGTATTCAAATAATATTTTGAAGCTGAGAACTATAATTATCTACAGTATTGTAAATAAAAAATTTCATCAATAAAACAAATAAAATGCAATCAATGTAGACATAATCATTTCGAAGGTCTGAAAATCAGACAATAATTGAGCACGCTATTTGGGACATTTCGATTGTGTGACAACAAAAATTTATCTCCTCAATATTATACCGTACATGTAGAGTTCTATTTTTGGTATTCGAGATGTCTACATTTGCGATATAATATTGAGGAGACACATTTTTGCTGTCACATAGCGTGTTATTTCGTCTCATTTTAAATGAATAGTTAGATCAATATATTGTCTGCTGAAAATGTGAAAGTAATTAATATATTCCAAAACATTGCTTAGGTTTGAATGCCTTTTTTTGGTGCAACAACGTTCAATCCACTTGATTCGTTGTTTGTAGAACTCCTGTAAAATTATTGCTTGGTCACGAAGAACATTTCTTAGTTCCACTAGTTTGTCATTAAAATCAGTTACAATGCTCTCGCTGCATAACATCATTCAATTTCTTTACATTTTGATGCCAGTGCTCTTTTACGTACTCATTTCTTGCTGTAGGCATAAACATCATTTTTTCATTTAATCTTTTGACTACATCATCATATGGTTTTCAAATTCTGTTTACTACCTGCGCTTTAGAATAACGAAATTCAATGCGCACTTCCGTTAAACGTTTTCTTCTTAATGTCATCATTTCCAGTACCGAGATTTTTTTTTAATTTTTCTTCTATATTAGAAATCTTTTTAACATATTTTGAAACCAAATATTGACAATGCAAACTATACAAAAGAAATGATTCCAAATAATAAATCAATGTTTATCAATTATTAATGTTCAAAATCAACAGAATTTTAATTGGAAAATATGATTTTAATACCACTAAAACCTATGAATATAAATATTAGAACCTATGAATTAAGTTTATATTTGAAATGAATTATTAATTGATGCTGGAATTTTCATGAATGAATAAAAAACCAGGTTAGTAATATATGTATTATTACTTACTTTTTAAATATTAACGTAATAAAATTTCATCAAATGCATCAAGAGGTTCACAATAATTTGAAATAAAGGGTACAGTAAAAAAAATAGGAAAAGTATGTCAAGTTCGTTTAAATGATACTTGTATGCATTTGAGCAAACATGTTTTTTTATAAAAGAGTAGGTATTTCATTTATTGTACATTTTGGCAGATTATGAAAAGCACGAAAACATTATTTCCCGTGTCTTAATTGTAAAATAATGAAAAGAAAAACGTCAAGTTGTTAAACAGATGCGGTATTAACACGCAGCCTTGACAGTGAAAAGAAGATAGAGATCTTCGAAAGACAAATAAAAAATTTGGCTGTGTCATTGCATGAAAATAACGGTTTTGCTGTAAATTAGCTGTATTTCAAATTATTGTGAAATTATTCGCACACACGTGCTACACTTAGTTGCATGTATTGGTGTGAAATTGCGAGAAAATGACAATAGACGGAGCAACAAAAAAAAATTCTAAATTTTTCGCCAAAAAACTTATAGAATAAGGTCTACTTGTGTTTTTCATATGTTTCAAATAGTAAATTATTTTTTTATTCTATGGTGAAAAACGTGCTTCAACATTTTCTTGCGTCATATAATTTTTATATATTTTTTTATTTCTGCGTCGAAAAAGCTGTTCAAATAAGAGACAGTATAGCAAAAATTGAAACGTGTGGTTTTTCCACACTATTCACTCGAAGACAAAGTCTTCGTCAACGAAATTACACTGAATTCTCGAATTCTATCTCTGGTAAAGAATGCGGCTGCATATGTAGGCAGACATTTCAATATTAAAATATAAAATGGTGCGTATAAAACGACAAGTTAAAGCTAAAGATTGAGTAATCTGAAGTGAGCTTTTGATGTAAAACGTTCACTGATATTTTTTAAAATTCATAATATGTTGAAAGCCATTTTTCTGTTGTGTTCGACTGGATTGGTCGTAGTAAACTGTGAGAATGTTTACAAAATAGTAAAAACAAAAAGCGGCCCAATCCGTGGACTAGTGCAAAAAACATTATGGTACGAAGAAGAGTATTATTCTTTTAGGGGTATTCCCTACGCCAAACCACCGGTTGGCGGACTTCGATTTAAGGTTTGATCTATTCAGTTTAAATGGAAAATATTCGAATAATAATTTGATTTATTCATAAAAACAGGCTCCTGAGCCATTCGAAGTGTGGACAGATCCATTTGATGCATTTAGATACGGAAGAATGTGCTCACAAATACAAAGAGACTCATTAACAACCAGCGAAAATTGCCTATTTTTGAATATATTCACACCAGGTGAGATAATAAATGATATTCAACTCGAAGAAAACTTACCTGCTGTTGCTATTCAACTGTAGTATAGTTCATTGATTTTAAGATATATAAATATATCACTTCTTACTCTTTTAGACACGACGGGAAGAGGAAAGCTCCCTGTAATATTTGTGATACATGGTGGACTTTACGCAGCTGGATCTGGAGACGATAGTAGGTGGGTATAGACGTAAAACTTTTTTACGTATTACTTTAGGTATATACAATCACAAATCGATTGGCAATTGTTATATAAATATGTATTATAAATATGTCCATTTTTCCCATTGATAAATGAATAGTTTCCCACGTGGGATTCATTCATAATGAAATTACATTTTTAGCATTTATATTTTTTGGTTGAAAACAAATGAATAATTATTGCAGGTGGGGTCCTGATTTCTTTATCGAAAATGATGTAATCGTTGTAACCATAAACTATCGGCTTGGGGCCATGGGCTTTATGTCATTAGGAAGTTCTGATTACTCTGGAAATATGGGAATGAAAGACCAGCAGCTTGCTTTGAAATGGATTCATGATAATATCGATGCGTTTGGTGGTGACAACAACCGAATAACTATTTGCGGCATAAGCGCTGGTTTGAGACTTTGCAATCAGAAATGTTAAAATCATATTAAAAAGGCTTCGTTTTTAATTTTAGGATCAAAATCGATTGGTTTTCATTTGTTCAATAAAGAATCTTCAAAAAATTTTAATCAAATACTCGGAATAAGCGGAGTAGCAAATGCAGCTCAAGCTTATCAAAAAGGCGACCATAAATGCTTGATGCGGATTTTTTTCCAAAAACATAATTCAAGATGTCCGCACAGCGATGATGAGTTAATTGAATTTCTTCAAAATGTTGATGTGGATAAAATCATAAAATTCACCGAGGAAACTATTCATTGTCAGGCATCGCCTTGGAATCCAATCGTTGAAAGTAAACACCAAATAATCTCCTATGATGAAATACCTTATTGAAACATATTTTTTCGAACACACAGAATCGGATGCAAAAAGTCCATTCCTTCTCGAAGATCCAGAACAATTACTAAAACATGCCCAGAGTATCAATAAAACTGCATACTTTACATTTGCTCGATATGTCAGTTTTAAATAAGAAATCTATAGTTCAATTCATATAAATAACAATTTTTATTCATTTAGGAACAACTATACTTTACCGGAGGAACAAATTATACGGATCCAAAAGATATCGAAGAATTGTTGAGAGATTTCTTCATTACTTTGCCAATCTTTGGATACAGTTCAATCATTGCAAAGAAAGTGAGTTGGAAATTCATTCTAGCATAAAATTGATTATTGAGTTCGAAAGGGACATATGTTTTTGACATACATTTTTCAACCATTGCTGAAGACAGTTGTTTATTCCATTTTCACAATTCAATTTTTAGCCATATCTCCGAGATTTAATGGATGAAGTCCGCAGTTTTTATTTTGGCAAGGCAACCACCGAAGATGAAGTTTTCAAGCAACGGCTGATCATGGACTCCGATATACATTATGTATACTTCATTGAAAAATGGTTAGAACAACACGTAGCTGTTTCTCATCAAAAGACATTTTATCAGCGGTGAGTCGAATTGAAAATATTTTTTAGCCCCCGAAATAAATGACGACACAAAATAAACATGTCTTTGGTTAGATTTTCAGCTTATACGAAAATCAATGAAAGAAATTTTCGACATGGAAAGTACCACATTGGCAGCCATGCAGATGAAAATTGCTATGCATTCCGGTATAACATTAAGATATTCTAACTTCATATTTATTCAATATTTGATGTCGAATTTTGAATGTTCCAAGGTGTCGCGCAATTACAAACTTGTACAAGGAAATAATGGAGAAAAAAGACATTGACGTGCAAAGTGCAATAGCTTTTAGGATATTGCATAATATGCAAAAATTATTTTCCAACTTTGTGACTTATGGGTAACACAAATCAATTCTTATAAAATGTCCGCTATTATTTTGTGTTTTGTTGTCAACAGAAATCCCATCCATAATGGCAATCCAACGAAAAACTTTCTTCCACTTATGTTGAACAAAGCGAGTATGTTTAACTTTGTTGATGTAACAAACGATGGTTTAAGCGCGGGAATCGCGCCAAATGCAAATCGATCGAAATTCATCGACTATGTTGTCAACGAGGTAAAACGATTAGTTGAAATACATGGAGATACACCGAGTAAAACGCCAATTCAACAGATGTGCGATGAAATGCTGGAATCAACATCGACCGAAACCTGTTCATTATCATGAACAGGAGACGAGTCACAACATTAAAAAACCATGAAATTTGACAAATTCTATGAATGATGAAAAAAGCACATGAAAACAGTTGTTATTAATCACAATAAATACACCAAAAAATAAAGATTAAACTTTTCAGTATATTTCCTTACCATTAGATAATAATTCAGTGGGGGCTCGGAAATGGAGCCAGTTTTATTTTTATTTTCTAATCGTCTAGGCGCAGCATCTGGTGTAAAAATAATATTATACTTTTTTCTATAGTAAATTTTTCAATTAAAAAAAAAATAAACATAGCAAAATCTAAAAATGATATGAATGGCTGAGAAAAATCATGACTCAAATACTATGCACATAGAAGATAGAAACTTGAATAATGCTTTGAAGACGCAAGAGTGAAACAATTCAAAAATCCACATGTATTTTTTCAAGATTTTGTCTTTAATATTTTTTGAACAAGGTTCATTGTTGTGTGCTTCTTGATTTGTGTGCAATATACTCAGTATCCGAGAGTTTCATAAAAGCTCTCCATGACGCCTATCGATTCAATACGATTGGTATTCGCTTACTATTCAATAGGTGTCATAAGGCAAGTTTATATGAATCTCTCGGAGTCTCGGTATACCGATATAGAAAACTCAAACAGTGAAAAAAATCCAGATCGTGATTTAAATGATATGGAATGTGATTTTTTTCATTCTAATTTCACCAGGCGATACAGAAAATTGACTAGTATTTATTTATTATAAATTAATTATTTTTTTCATTATTTTTTTGAAAAATTTACTAAAGAAAAATCTATTATATCGTTTTTAGATTTTGCGACATATAAAATTATTTTAAATTATCGTTTTTTGAATTTTCGATATATAATTTGAAAAATTTACTATAGAAAAAACTATTATATCGTTTTTAGATTTTGCGACTTATAAAATTATTTTTTTGAAAAATTTACTATAGAAAAAACTATTATATCGTATTTAGAATTTTGCGACGTATAATTTGAAAAATTTACTATAGAAAAAACTATTACAGTATGTTTCATTATAGAGAGAGGTTGATTTAACTACCACAAATTTCAAATA